GTATTGGTGCCGACAGAATCCCAACGTGTGCTATTTGACCCTATTGATGGGTTCAAACCATTGCCTTCACGAGCAATGTTTAATGGAATTCCAAGCATCTCAATAATCCTGCTTTGTGTGCGAAGGTTGGAGATCCCAAGGGCGATTGTTCTCCTGCCACGTGCGGGCTGAGATGACGCTCAGCTGCTGACCTCTAGCGGACATCCTGCGGCGCTTTCTCAGCCGGATTGCTGCCACTTGCCCAGGACATCAGCCGGAGTGCTCCCGATCATCTCCATGATCTCGTCGAGATCTCGCAAGCGAAGCAGGATTTTTTGGGGCCCGAAAAGTGCTTGGATGGGGTGACCATCATGCAGAGTAGATTTGCCATAGGACTGTCGGGCTAACGTGGTGGGCAGGGGCGGAGCCAGGATATTTGACTTTGGGGGGGCCGACTTCAATATTCTGAGATATCCAGTGCCACAAATATATAAAATCAATTTTATTGGATTTGAACGCGGAGTTTATTAATAGGTCGGAGCCGCTGATGTGGCTAATAAGTTCGATAAGTTCGAAAGGCTGCCGCTAAAGCAGCCTGCAGGGCAGCACAAGGTGGCAGCCTGCAGGGCAGCACGAGGTGTCAGCACGAGGTGTCAGCACGAGGTGTCAGCACGAGGTGTCAGCACGAGGTGTCAGCACGAGGTGTCAGCACGAGGTGTCAGCACGAGGTGTCAGCACGAGGTGTCAGCACGAGGTGTCAGCACGAGGTGTCAGCACGAGGTGTCAGCACGAGGTGTCAGCACGAGGTGTCAGCACGAGGTGTCAGCACGAGGTGTCAGCACGAGGTGTCAGCACGAGGTGTCAGCACGAGGTGTCAGCACGAGGTGTCAGCACGAGGTGTCAGCACGAGATGGCAGCCAGAATTTTGCAGCAGCCGGATATCTGGTTATCCCGATTACCGACTTTCCCAAAATTTCAGGGGGGGCTGAGCCCCCCCCCAGCCCCCCTGTGGCTCCGCCCCTGGTGGTGGGCCAGTCGAGGGTTGAGTTGCACTGCATTTATATGCTCCCCACCTTCACGAACCCACATTAACCAGCGTGGTGACGTGTGGCCAAGTCATCACAACGACCCTCGCGGTGTGGGGAAGCCCTCATCCAGCAGAGAATTGATGTCTACTGCTGGATGAGTAATTCGAATGACATTGTAGAGATTGTGTATTGTTTGTTCATGTTAATACAGCACTCATGTTAACACTCACGCTCGTGTGGAGAGGATTATACAAATAACTACAGCGATATTCATATTCTTAGTTCTTTCGGTAAAGTCACGTTGAAGGGAAACAACAAAATAATAAAATATATAAAACAATAAAAATTCTCACGACGTTTCGACCATAACACAAACGGTCGTCTTCAGGTGTGTCGGTTTGCATAAATTTATTTATTTTCAAACGGTGCATTTATTTATTTAAAAAAAAACGTTAGCGCCACGCGCAGCGATTTGGCAGTTTATTTAGATGGACTAGTCCATCTATGTTCTGAAAAGAGGAGGGGGGAGACGATTTTTTTTTCATGTATGCTGTCTGAAAGCCACTGTAAGCGTGAACAATCAATTAAGACCTTAAATGGTTTATCAAATCTGTCCAATGATTGCTAAGCCAGAATCCATCTTCTCGGTTGAAATTGTCTCTGTGCTTGTATATGTGGATAGCCTCATGAACGAATCTCTCATGGTAGCCAGATGGCTTACAAAGAACCTCTATCTTGGAAAAGTCAATGTCATGTGAGCCTACTGAATTATAACAATGATCTGCCACGGCCGAGGTGTTGGTCCTACCGTGTTTAAGGTCTGCTTTGTGTTCACGAATGCGGTCCGAGACATGGCGTTTGGTTTCTCCAATGTAACTACTACCACAGAGGCAACTTAGTTTGTAGACACCAGGGTATTGTATGTCCGGAATCACATCTTTTACAGACGGAACCAGATCACGGATTTTATGTAATGTGTTGAAACGGACCTGGATCTTGTGTTTATTCAAGATTTTGGAGATCTTTTTTGTGATCCCCGCAATGTAGGGTAAAGTGATGGTTTTGAAAGGCTCCTCAAGAGGGTCCTTCTTCATGGTTTGAGTGATAGCTTTGCGGATTGTATAGTCGGAGTAACCATTAGCCTTAAGAGCTTGGTGTACGTGCTTGAGTTCACTGCCTATGTGTTCCTGGTCGGATATGCATTGGGCTCTATGATACAGAGTCTTGATGAGATAATTCTTCTGTGATGGATGGTGGTGGGAATCCGGTTTCAGATAAGCATCCGTATGGGTAGCTTTCCTGTAGACAGAGTGGCTCATTGAACCATCAGGTCTCTTTTTAATTAGGACATCCAAAAAAGGTAGCTTGCCATCTATTTCGACTTCCATGATAAATCTGATGGCTGGGTGTATGGAATTGATGTGGTCGAAGAATTGGTCTAGAGCAGGCCGGCCATGTGGCCAGATGACAAAAGTGTCATCCACGTACCTCTTCCATAAGGTTGGGCGCATAGTGGCAGTCTGGATGGCGTCAGTCTCAAATTTCTCCATGAAAATGTTAGCTATAACCGGAGATAGGGGGGAGCCCATTGGGGTGCCCTCAGTTTGTTTGTAGAAAGTTCCATTCCAAGTGAAGTATGTATTGGTTAAACAGTGTCTCACCAGGGGGGGTACCTCAGTGTTTAGTCCTTGATGAACCAAGTCTTCAATGATTGCAATGGTGTCAGGTACAGGAACCTTGGTGAATAAGGAAACTACATCAAAACTGACAAGCAGGTCGTCTGGGGACTATACAATCCGCAAAGCTATCACTCAAACCATGAAGAAGGACCCTCTTGAGGAGCCTTTCAAAACCATCACTTTACCCTACATTGCGGGGATCACAAAAAAGATCTCCAAAATCTTGAATAAACACAAGATCCAGGTCCGTTTCAACACATTACATAAAATCCGTGATCTGGTTCCATCTGTAAAAGATGTGATTCCGGACATACAATACCCTGGTGTCTACAAACTAAGTTGCCTCTGTGGTAGTAGTTACATTGGAGAAACCAAGCGCCATGTCTCGGACCGCATTCGTGAACACAAAGCAGACCTTAAACACGGTAGGACCAACACCTCGGCCGTGGCAGATCATTGTTATAATTCAGTAGGCTCACATGACATTGACTTTTCCAAGACAGAGGTTCTTTGTAAGCCATCTGGCTAACATGAGAGATTCGTTCATGAGGCTATCCACATATACAAGCACAGAGACAATTTCAACTGAGAAGATGGATTCTGGCTTAGCAATCATTGGAAAGATTTGATAAACCATTTCAGGTCTTAATTGATTGTTCACGCTTACAGTGGCTTTCAGACAGCATACATAAAAAAAATCGTCTCCCCCCTCCTCTTTTCAGAACATAGATGGACTAGTATGTACTAGTCCAAATAAACTGCCAAATCGCTGCGCGTGGCGCTGTTTTTTTAAAATAAATAAATGCACCGTTTAAAAATAAATAAATGTATGCAAACCGACACACCTGAAGACGACCGTTTGTGTTATGGTCGAAACGTCGTGAGAATTTTTATTGTTTTATATATTTTATTATTTTGTTGTTTCCCTTCAACGTGACTTTACCGAAAGAAGTAAGAATATGAATTACTGCAGTCACGAAAGCTTTAAATCAAAATTAAACTACAGCGATGTCAATTAACTACACCTTTATCATAAGCGGTCAGGAGTAAGTAATATAGCAACTGTTATCGCCACATAACCGTACTCTATTTTTCATATAAATCAAACTACAACTCATGTTTTAATTACATTTGGCTGTAATAGCCGCAACAGCCAGTAAAACCTGCTCAAATATTGGTTTCCCCATTTATTTGGGGGAAACCAATATTTGATTACACCAGCGCTGCTCTACCGAGCACAGACGATAGCAGCAGTGCCATGTGGGTGACACGATCATCATTGCAATGGATATACATCGCAGCTTTGTTTTGGGTTGGGAGCCAATACCCACAAATACAATACTGGGTTAGGATCACCGTGACCCAGGTGCAAACATGAACCCAATCGGGCTTATTAGTAAAACAGCTCTACGGTGAAGAGCCTCGCTGAGCAAAACGAAAAACTTTTGAAGAAATCACGTTAACCTGCCCCAATTTCCATCCGCCACTCGGCGGCAGCAAGGGACCCCCTAAACGGGGGGCTGTGTGGACGTGCACCCAAAACAGCGGCTCTCGGGCTGGCTGGCTTGGTGGTGAAAAACGACGCATTGTCTCCGCATTGCGTTCTGCTCCCCTTCTTCCTTGCCTTGGTCACGGCACCGCGCGGAACGATGAGAAGGCGCACTCGGGCACCACCCCGCTGCCACGCGTTCACCAGAGGGAGCCCGCGCATTCGCAGTGGCCTACGTCGGTACCAATTTCTACTTTGTTAGGAGCAAGGGTGTTTCTGCTTTCATGCGCTTGTATCACAAGCTACCCTTCTTCCCCAGAGCACTGTATTGTCATGTGTTGCTTTTAACAGAAATGTGCTTATTATACACGGCATACTAATATCCAGCTTGTCTCGAATAATATATTAGGTTGCAACAGACTAGAGCGTTAAAACGAGGAGCGCAGTCAGGAGAAATGAACTGCCACGCATCCCCAACGAGGTCACCGACGCCGCCACTGCTGCGTGCGTCACGCGCAACGTAACTTTCGGTTCCTTGCAAATTTTTACATATAACACTTCGATTTTAAGGAGCGTTCGGCATGTGGGAGACAAGGCAGGGAACGTCACTTTTCAGTGGCACTTTGAGAGCTCCGAAACGCGCTTTCGAATCTACTGCAGGCACTGTCTGCTTGAACGATGAGACGGCAACAGCACGTGGTGGAAGTCCAAAGAAACGACATGGGCGAGCAGCGCTGCCTTCCGAGGAACAAAACAACCTCTTGGGCACACACACACATTTGACATTTTCTCCGAACAATCATAATAAGGAATCAAGAGCATGTATTCCACGTGGAGGCGGTTTATTTATTTTTTATAATGAAGTATACAGCAAAGGGTGTAATTTACTTTAATACAAATCAATAATTATCTTCTTGGCAACAAGGAATTCCAAGATTGCAATATGCCTGGTTAAGTACTCCACACAGCTCTCATTAAGCAAGGTGGACATAGCATCAATTGTACAATAAATGTAATGCTGAAATGTGCACAGCACATGATGCTATGTTCTGTGTATCCTTGCAGTGGAGTTTGGCTAACCATCGAACAAAGACGGTCGCTGCATTGCGCGCTTTCACGGCCGTCTGGAACGCTCTTCCTTCCAATAAGAGGATGCCACTGGATCTATGGACTTTTAAATCTAAATTAACCATTTTTTTAGCACTGTTCTTATGTTTAGTTTGTTGTCCTTCCCCCGCACCTCCAGTGAGCAGGATTGGCTACGTACAGTGCAAAAGAAGTTCAACACACGTATGTACCGAAAAAAAACACGTCATGGCCATTCACTCAAAAATGTCTGCGAGTTGTCAATTGGGCGAGTGAAAGGACTGACTTATAAAATCACAATTTCGTGACTTACTGGCACCTTACTATAATTTTAACCCTTCACAGGAACTAAGAGGGCACACATGACAGCTGAGAAAGAATTCATGCTTGTATGACCCTGCTGCCATCTATTGCAACCCTGGAGTCGTCATTTTTGAAGATTGTTCATTAACACAGCAACAAACCAAGCTCCTACGTAAATGATTGCCTTATGGGGGAAAAAAAAACAACTCACAAAAGCATGAGAGGCTCAATGCAGACAAATCAAACATCTATTAAAAATAAGCAGTTCACTATAAATGGATTACTACTTCATTCATACGAATGCCAGTGTTAACCTGTGAAGTGAAACGGTAAAAATGTTTTTGATAATAATAATTACAAACACCCCCTTTAACACCCCTTCAAAAATCCAATGTAAGAAACCCACAATTGTTTCTAATGTTTAGTGGCAGTGGGGCAGCTCGAGTTGGAGGCAGGTTTCGGGCAGGAGGGAGACCTCGACTTTGACCTTATCTGAGACGCGGAGCGAGACCGAGACCTCTGCCTCGACGGTGATGGCGACTTGGATTTGGAGAGAGGCTTCATCTTTTCCTCTTTCTTCGGAGATCTAGACCTAGAGCGAGACGGGCTGTCTTTCTTTCCCTCGGGAGACCTGGAACCAGAGCGAGACCTGGTGTTCTTTCTACACTTAGGAGATCCTGATCTGGAGCGAGATCTGCTGTCTCTCTTTCCCGCGGGAGACTTGGAGCGAGATCTGGCATTCTTCCCTCTCTTAGGAGACCGTGACCGAGAACGAGATCCGACTTTTTTCTTTCCCTTTAGAGACCTGGAACGAGACCTGCTATTTTTCCTTCCTTTGGGAGACTTTGACCTAGAACTAGACCTCACGTTCTTCCTTGCTTTGGGAGATCTAGACTTCGAGCGAGACCTGGCAATCTTCCTTGCCTTAGGAGATACAGATCTGGAGCGAGACCTAGCATTTCTTCCTCTCTTGGGAGACCTGGAGCGAGACCTAACCTTCTTCCTTCCCTTGAGAGATCTAGACCTAGAGCGAGATCTACTGTTTTTCCTTCCCTTGGCAGACCTCGAGCGAGAACGAGACCTGATGTTCTTCCGTCCCCTGAGCGATCGAGACCTCGAGCGAGACTTGCTATTTTTCCTTCTCTTGGGAGACACAGACCTGGAGCGAGACCTGCTGTTTTTCCTTCCCTTGGGGGACCTTGACCGAGAATGGGACCTCGAGTATTTCCTGGTCTTTGGAGATGGAGACCTCGAGCGCGACCTGCTAAACTTCCTTCCCTTGACAGACGCGGACCTGGATCGGGACCTGGCGTTCTTCCCCCGCTTGGGAGATCTCGACCTCGAGCGAGAGCGCACATTCTTTGCGCGTCTAGGAGACCTCGACTTGGAGCGGGAACGCGATCGCCTGACCCTCTTGCGAGACCTGGACCTAGACCGAGATTTTGTTCGAGACCTGGATGCCGACCGCTTCCCGCCGTTCCTGCCGTTTGTTTTACCGACAGAGACAGAGCGGCTGCGCGAGCGACTTTTCTTTCTGCGAGACCGTGAATGGGACCTGCTGTCCCTGCCTCGTTTACGCTTTGCCGGTGAACGAGACCTGAAGGAAAAAAATAACATCACAACGCCGCACCCGATAGCCATTAGGTGGATTTTAACGTATTCTTACGTCTCGATGTATAAAAACATTTCTAAAGTGCATGCATTTAAATCTACTTACAGAAACTCCAACAGCGCTATTAGCAATTTGTAATGAAAATTTCTGGAAGTGTATCATTTACACTACGTAAAAACTTAAAAATGTATATCATCAAATATTCCACTATCAAGTTCTCCCAGCACGTTACCCACAAGGTGCATTACGATATTTCGTGCCTTGCGACGTTATCGTGCCCAACAATGCGTCGCAACATTGCACGTCACGCCCTGCGTGAACGCCAACTCGTCGTGCGGCTTGGACAAGGTACCCCCCCCCCTTGCGATCGTTAATTAAACGCGAGATTTTTTCTGATTTTTTTTTACCCTCAATTTGCTTTTGTGAAGCTGTTAACGATGCCGGCTGCAAGATCTGACCTGGATCGGCTGCGTGTGCGGCTGCGTCGTCTCGCCCTCCTGCCACTCCTGCTTCGCGACCGTTTTGCCCGGTTCAGCCTTCGGCGGCGGTTTCTCGAGCGTGACCTGCCCGATACGACCAACACCGGCTCAACACAACAACCCGCAGCACGTGCGCCATATTGCACGCAACGGAATATACGCACATCATGTCAATGAGTGGCGATAAAGTTTAAAGTTATTTTGTGACCGAGTAAAACAAACCTGCAGGAATTTATCCAGCAGTATATAGATCAATGCTGGTGATGACGATGAGAAACAGAGAGAAAAACTGTTCCAATGCTTTCATAAACACAAATATTCCTCGCCTGTCAGGCCCTTTACGATTAGCAGTAACCTGGGTAAGACTAGACCAGCTGGTACAGCAGAAACTCGATGTACGCACACCCCTTATCGCCCATGGGCCCGGAGCAGATATTTACTTGCCGGTACCACCTGAGGTGGCAAAACTGTTGTGGTTCCAATATCATTGTGACCAATTGCAGTGAATTACGTGATAACCATTTTAAATGACTGGGTAACCAAATAATTAACTCTTATGAGATATAAACACATCGCTACAACTCGAATCCTGCTACCTCGGTACAAATTTTCACTTTATTGGGAACAAGGCCATTTGTGCTTTCATGCGGCGCTTGCATCACAAGCTAGCCTTCTCCTTCCCCACACCACTGTACTGTAAGATAAAGCGTTTTTGCTTATAACGGAAATGTGCCTATCATACACGGCATACTAATATCCAGCTTCTTCCTGTATAACTATCAGATATTTTAGATTGTAACAGACTAGAGCGTTAAACAAGCCGCGCAGTCAGGATAAATGAACTGGCCCCGCATCCCCAGCTCGGAAACTGATGTTGCCAGTTGCTGTGTGCGTCACGTGCAAGTGTTCTGTCGTGTACTGAACTCCAAACCTCGATCGACTGCGGCGTTTAGCGCGTAGCGTCCGGTTGGAGCGCTCCTCCCTCAGCTTGAGCTTGCGGCCAAAGAGCTCCATGCCGTCCAGCTCGTCCAGAGCTCGCTTCATGTCCACAAACGTGCGGAACTCCACAAAGCCCTCATTGTCTCGCTCCACGTGCGCTTCGCCATACATCACCTCGCCAGCACGGCGCAGCGAGTCCTGCGGGAGAGTTGTCGGTGCGACCCGAGGGGATTGAGGCACGAGCTATCGTAACGTTTTATTTGAACGATACATCGACAAGATTTGGTAAAATTGGAAATAGATCTCCTAAAAAATATATACATATATGGGTATTTTTGCACCATAGAAATGATGGAAAGATTGATTACTGAGATCCAAAGACTGAATCGGGTCAGAAATTAGAATAGGAGGAAGAAGGCAAGAGTTGTGGTGCCTATCTCAGAGAAGATGAAACAAAGTCGACTCAAATGGCGAAGGCAAGTCGTAAGATGAGAGGAAACCCACATCGCAAAGGAAGGCGATGTTGAACATGGTAACACCAGAGCAGTGATCAAGAGGCAAGCCCTGGTAGAGGTGGTTCTTAGTGGTGATCTAAAATATGAAGGACTGTGGAGTTGACCTCGAGATGGCTCAGAACAAAAATGAGTGGAGAGGAGCAGGGAGACCCACATGAGTGGGCCAATTTACAGAACAGGGCATTTCTAAAGCTCATCAGAATTAACTACAATGCGTGACTCACAAAACAGGTCTATGTAACCTTCAAAAGCATCGAGGTCTATTCTATCATCCAGCGAAGTGCTTCACAAGAGAAAAACACAATTTGGCATAAAACCACTTTGAAAGTTATAATAAAATAGAATTGCATTGTACATATACAGCCCTTTTGCCTATCCACTGCTGGATGAGGCCCCGCCACGCCGTGTCGTGTAAGTTATTTTATCATACTTCACCATGACGGTCAGTGCATGATGGTGAAGGTGTTGGGCAACAGACATTGCAGCATAGTACAATAAAACAAATTAATTCATTAAAACTGTCCTCTGCTGACGTGTTGGTTGCTGATCTAAGCAACTGCATAATGCAAAAAGAGAAATAAGAGGTAAAGATGCAGTCCTGCAAGTAGTTGCTCGTGCCACTGCTGGCAGAAGTGACTCCACGAGAGGCATGATTTAAGAAACTTGGCCAATGTTTCAACTGGGGCACCATGGAGACAAAACCAGTGGCCAATGGATTGCAAGCCAAGTCTGAAAACCATTACACCACGGCAACATCCGCACAATTACAAATGTTGCCAACGTAGATGTTGGTGAAGATTTTGCAATGGTTCAAGTCGAGCGATTACCTTCAGCTGTTCTGCATCGCAGCGGGTGGAGAGGTTCTCCACTACGAGCCGGTACTCGGTGCGGATGGGAGGCCTGTAGAGTCCGGAGCGTCCTCCGAAAATTGAAGAAGCACCTACGCCAAGTGGACGTAGATTACAAAGCGTCTCATTCATGCCAAACAGCAGACGCAGTTTAAAAATAGTAAATAAATATGTATGCGTGAAAAATAGCAATCATAGCAAGGTGCAAATACATTGTATGTAGTGTATAAAGCATGAGTTAGTTCAAAAATAGCTATATATAGTGGTTAAAAAAACTATTTTCTGTGCTGTTTTGATTATACAGTTTTGTTTGAGCAAATTATTGCAACTATTAATGATAAAGTTGGTTAATAAAATATTGTTCATCTTGTGAATGACACTGAAGATTTTTTATATTATTTTAAGCAACAGCAGAATTACTCAAACATAACCATGCATCTTGAAAATACAATATGGCATTATACTGTATGGAGAAAAGTCAGTGCAATTGATTCTATATAGCATACTAGACATGAATTACCGATACAAAACTGTGTGTGTGCATATTACACTTACGTCGTAAACAGCACAAAACAGTTTTAAGCTAATTCTACACAATTAACAATGTACTGTAATGAAGTATGTGAAAAAGCACGGAGTTCACCAAACCAGCCAGAAATGACACCTGGCTGTTCCTCACCAACCGGGTCTAAAGGCAAGTGAGGCCGCAGGAGGAGGCTTCCGCAAGGGCAGCCAAGGGCCATGGGAATGGAACGGGTAGGTTGGTACGGTACGGAGTGGATGGGTTGGTGCGGTTGGTTGGTTGGTTGGTAAGGTAAGGCCATGGCCATTGGAACAGGCATCTTAGAGATTCTTGATTCAAAACATTGACGACTTTGTTAAATCGGTGGTTAAGTTTAAAGAGAAAACATTCAGCAATTCATATAAAAAGCTCAAGAGCACGGGTAAATGCTTTAAGTAGAATGGATGGCAGGTTATGTAAGATCACATTAAAGCGACAATTAATCATTTGCAGTGTTTCCAAGGAACCACCACATGAATTTGGGTTAACTCAGATATAAATATTAACGAGGCAATAGACCAGTGTAAAAATATTTAGTCGTTACTTCTAAATAACAGATCCAATATTGAAATAACCCGTGGTCTTAAGAACATCAGAAACACTTTAAAATGCAAAACATACATTTTCATAAAAGATAACAAAGTACTGTGTAAGGCATTTGCAATATATATGTAATGTACATTTAAAAACAACCGCTCATCAACACAGTTCAGCAGTATAAACAATGTATTTTCAGTAGACTTTTAACTGCACTCGAGGAAAAACACTGGCGCGAGTCGTTTTCTCTACTCCAGGGCAGGAAGCGGTGAGTCTACCTCCCGGCCGCCCCCGGGCATGTTCCACCACCACCGGGTCCCCACACAGGTCGCGGCCGTTCAGCTCGTACACGGCACTATCCGCATCCCGGCCATCTTCAAGCTCCACAAATGCATACCTGAGAACAGCACACATCAGCCAATGAAGGACAGATACAGCAGCGTTCGCATCGATAAACACATGGGGTCGAGATACAATATTTCGGTCGAGGCTGGCCCAGAAACTGCGGGCATGAAAATAATTCTTAGGCACTATGATCTCGAAACCTCAGATGTATATTTTAACCATAACCTTCACAAATAATATGTCCGTAGAATTCAATAAATAAAACCCACGGAGGGCTTGTGATTGGATGAAAATTTGATTTATAATTTAAAACCAATCTGAAGGAACAGTATTCACTTCCAAATATTTTACCGACTCCAGTTGCGCTGAAAGTGATTCCAATTTCTTTCCATGGGCAATGCAAGTGTGCTATGTAATAGCATACAAACAATTGGATTGATACATTTCACTGGATTAATTTGACGATAAATCATTACCAGTTAAAGTTTTTTCCACCTCAGCAAACCTTTACCGGTGGTGGCTCCTTCTGAATGTGCCCCAATGTCTGCAACTCTTCTGTCTTACCCTGTTCAGTCTAACCTCTTCATTTTGAAGACTCAAATAGCAAACTCCCTATCTGCCCTAGAGTCAACCAGTTGAAATTTGTGCGGCGTACATTTATACACATTGAAAATACAAACTTTCTTTATGCTCTGGATCAAGGGATAAAATAATCATGTTTTGTTTTCAGGCACCGCTATTAACTCCAGCACGAAAATATTCAAAAGCTATGGCCATAATGGCCCAGGCAGGGATAATCGGATCCCTCTGAAAACAGCAACCCGATTCAGCCGAGGCTTTATTTGAAATACGTATTGCAAGTTAGCGAATGTAAATGAAATCAATTGCATAGCATAGCCGAGCGCGCGAGTAACCGTTGCAAATAATGCACTTACAAGTCAAACTTACATGTTGCAATATTTTTTTACCTAAACATGAACACGTGTTTCACGAGGGCTGTCCAGCTTTGTTGGCAGTCCCGAAACCATCACATATGTAGATTCACATTATATATTAAGGCAGGACCAACATCAAAGGCTCGAGTTCCTTTGACGGTTTGACACCGCACGAATGTGGTCTGACAATGGGCAGCATTGACTTGACGGTGCTTTAGTTGCGTGGTGTACATCTCCGCTGGAGGTACAGAACCCGCGGTGGAAATTCCACATTATCACGGCCAAAACTCGGGCTACAATATCAATGTTCTCTCTGTGTTTCCGGGTTGTTAATGCGTGTTGTTCCGGCATCTTGATCGACGTTCGGCCCACGTGCAGAAAACACACTAAAGCTATACGGCACAGACGTGAAAATACCTCGTAACAATACAGTCGAACTTATTTACTTAGAAAAAAAAACCTCACCGAGCCAAGACTATTTTAAGGAGGGTCCTGTATTGAGTGAGATGTATGGACATTCATAGATGTGGGAGAAACCTGGATTACCAAGACCCCCACGAATAGGAGTGAATAACCTTCAAAGCTCTGCACGCAGATTCAAAAATCCATCGCTGTACTACCATTTCCTGGTCATTTCGCAGTCCGTGACTTCCGTTCATCAAGTAACACTTTATCCAATGTGGTGTATCAACCCCGAGTGATTGACGTATAGTGATATTATATTGGAAACGACCATGCACATGAAACACGGGGGAATTGTATAGCTTGTATAGCTTCAAAAGCCAAGTTCAGTACCGGATTATTTGCCGCGTACCAGAGGTTTCACCTCGACGCCCCATACGCGCCGACTGGCTCCATTAGATCATTCAATAGCAGAACAAGGAGTGAACGAACCACTATATCTTCTGGGTTATTTCGATAAAGTCACGTAGAATGGAGACTCAAGCGCTGTTTTCCGGACAGTCCTGTTTCTTCACCTGAGGAAGGCTACTTTGTGTTGTGGCCGAAACGTCGTGAGAATTTTATTATTTTATCTCCATTCTACGTGACTTTACCGAAAGAAGCCAGAAGATGAATCCCTGCAGTCACGAAAGCTTTAAATCGAAATTGAACCACCATATCTCAGAGCATGCTTTTTGTTTGTATTTTCACAAGTATATGTGGTTAATGCAGACATGATTCCTTGCAAAAGGTTTCAGTTTGGTGTTTTAACATCTTAACACCTGTTTTATTGCCAGAAAGGGGAAAACCTATTCTGATATACATTTAAAAAATCTTTTGATACATTTGTAAGACACATTTCTGGACTCGCGTGAGGCCTAGCGGAACATGAAAAGCCTGCGGCGTATTTCCCAGCGCGGATAAGCGCGGAGCGAGCTTCTCGCGCGCCGATTGGACGAATTGCTGCACGGTCTCGCGGCCCAATTGGCTGTGCGCGGGCGCGTGCGGCGCGCAGACCAATAGGGCGAAGGCGCGTAATGGCGGTCGCCGATGTGAACTGGGGAATTGAAACTCACCCGTTCTTGAGGCTAATCTCAACGATCTTGCCGAAGCCTCTAAGGAAGCGCTCAATGTCCTTCTCGCTCGCCTTGTAGCTAAGCTTGCCCAGGTAAAGACGAGCCATCTCTAAGTGTTCTTTTTTTTAACTGGCGGAGTTTTCGATCGAAACGCGGAGCGAGCGAGCGCCGCCGCCGCTGCTGCCACAAAGCGAGGGCCTCCCTCACTGCCGCATCCCCCGCGCGATACCGGCCGGTGACGTCACCCGCTAATTAACATAATCGCTGTTTGCACTTTCGCGATTATATCAACGCATATGACTTAAAATAGAAACATGTCTGGCGCAGCTACACCTCACCCTCTAGCGCTGCCAACATTACAAAAGTATACAATATTTTTTTTCATATTCCATGTTCATGTATAATACATGTTAATGTCTTACATTTGTGGCAGTATATGTTGAGTTTATGTTAATTTATGCGAGGGTCAGGGGCTCCTCGATCAGCTGGGGGGTCTGGGTGATGTGTGGTCTGGGTGATGTGGGTCTGTGTGGTCTGGGTGATGTGTGGTCTGGGTGATGTGTGGTCTGTGTGGTCTGGGTGATGTGTGGTCTGGGTGATGCGGGGTCTGGGTGATGTGGGGTCTGGGTGATGTGTGGTCTGGGTGATGTGTGGTTTGGGTGGTCTGGGTGATGTGTGGTCTGGGTGATGTGTGGTCTGGGTGATGCGGGGTCTGGGTGATGCGGGGTCTGTGTGGTCTCGGTGATGTGTGGTCTGGGTGATGTGTGGTCTGGGTGATGTGTGGTTTGGGTGGTCTGGGTGATGTGTGGTCTGGGTGATGTGTGGTCTGGGTGATGCGGGGTCTGGGTGATGCGGGGTCTGTGTGGTCTCGGTGATGTGGGGTCTGGGTGATGTGGGGTCTGGGTGATGTGTGGTCTGGGTGATGTGTGGTCTGGGTGATGTGGGGTCTGGGTGATGTGTGGTCTGGGTGATGTGGGGTCTGTGTGGTCTGGGTGATGTGTGGTCTGGGTGATGTGTGGTCTGGGTGATGTGGGGTCTGGGTGATGTGGGGTCTGGGTGATGTGGGGTCTGGGTGATGTGGGGTCTGGGTGATGTGTGGTCTGGGTGATGTGGGGTCTGTGTGGTCTGGGTGATGTGTGGTCTGGGTGATGTGTGGTCTGGGTGATGTGGGGTCTGGGTGATGTGGGGTCTGGGTGATGTGGGGTCTGGGTGATGTGGGGTCTGGGTGATGTGGGGTCTGGGTGATGTGTGGTCTGGGTGATGTGGGGTCTGTGTGGTCTGGGTGATGTGTGGTCTGGGTGATGTGGGGTCTGGGTGATGTGGGGTCTGGGTGATGTGGGGTCTGGGTGATGTGGGGTCTGGGTGATGTGTGGTCTGGGTGGTATGGGTGATGTGTGGTCTGGGTGATGTGTGGTTTGGGTGGTCTGGGTGATGTGTGGTCTGGGTGATGTGTGGTCTGGGTGATGCGGGGTCTGGGTGATGTGTGGTCTGGGTGATGTGGGGTCTGGGTGATGTGGGGTTTGGGTGATGTGGGGTCTGGGTGATGTGGGGTCTGGGTGATGTGGGGTCTGGGTGGTCTGGGTGATGTGTGGTCTGGGTGATGTGTGGTCTGGGTGATGTGTGGTCTGGGTGATGCGGGGTCTGGGTGATGTGTGGTCTGGGTGGTCTGGGTGATGTGTGGTCTGGGTGGTATGGGTGATGTGTGGTCTGGGTGATGTGTGGTTTGGGTGGTCTGGGTGATGTGTGGTCTGGGTGATGTGTGGTCTGGGTGATGCGGGGTCTGGGTGATGTGTGGTCTGGGTGATGTGGGGTCTGGGTGATGTGGGGTTTGGGTGATGTGGGGTCTGGGTGATGTGGGGTCTGGGTGATGTGGGGTCTGGGTGGTCTGGGTGATGTGTGGTCTGGGTGATGTGTGGTCTGGGTGATGCGGGGTCTGGGTGATGTGTGGTCTGGGTGGTCTGGGTGATGTGTGGTCTGGGTGGTATGGGTGATGTGGGGTCTGGGTGATGTGGGGTTTGGGTGATGTGGGGTCTGGGTGATGTGGGGTCTGGGTGATGTGGGGTCTGGGTGGTCTGGGTGATGTGTGGTCTGGGTGATGTGTGGTCTGGGTGATGTGTGGTCTGGGTGATGCGGGGTCTGGGTGATGTGTGGTCTGGGTGGTCTGGGTGATGTGTGGTCTGGGTGGTATGGGTGATGTGTGGTCTGGGTGATGTGTGGTTTGGGTGGTCTGGGTGATGTGTGGTCTGGGTGATGTGTGGTCTGGGTGATGCGGGGTCTGGGTGATGTGTGGTCTGGGTGATGTGGGGTCTGGGTGATGTGGGGTTTGGGTGATGTGGGGTCTGGGTGATGTGGGGTCTGGGTGATGTGGGGTCTGGGTGGTCTGGGTGATGTGTGGTCTGGGTGATGTGTGGTCTGGGTGATGTGTGGTCTGGGTGATGCGGGGTCTGGGTGATGTGTGGTCTGGGTGGTCTGGGTGATGTGTGGTCTGGGTGGTATGGGTGATGTGTGGTCTGGGTGATGTGTGGTTTGGGTGGTCTGGGTGATGTGTGGTCTGGGTGATGTGTGGTCTGGGTGATGCGGGGTCTGGGTGATGTGTGGTCTGGGTGATGTGGGGTCTGGGTGATGTGGGGTTTGGGTGATGTGGGGTCTGGGTGATGTGGGGTCTGGGTGATGTGGGGTCTGGGTGGTCTGGGTGATGTGTGGTCTGGGTGATGTGTGGTCTGGGTGATGTGTGGTCTGGGTGATGCGGGGTCTGGGTGATGTGTGGTCTGGGTGGTCTGGGTGATGTGTGGTCTGGGTGGTATGGGTGATGTGTGGTCTGGGTGATGTGTGGTTTGGGTGGTCTGGGTGATGTGTGGTCTGGGTGATGTGTGGTCTGGGTGATGCGGGGTCTGGGTGATGTGTGGTCTGGGTGATGTGGGGTCTGGGTGATGTGGGGTTTGGGTGATGTGGGGTCTGGGTGATGTGGGGTCTGGGTGATGTGGGGTCTGGGTGGTCTGGGTGATGTGTGGTCTGGGTGATGTGTGGTCTGGGTGATGTGTGGTCTGGGTGATGCGGGGTCTGGGTGATGTGTGGTCTGGGTGGTCTGGGTGATGTGTGGTCTGGGTGGTCTGGGTGATGTGTGGTCTGGATGATGTGGGGTCTGGGTGGTCTGGGTGATGTGTGGTCTGGGTGATGCGGGGTCTGGGTGATGTGTGGTCTGGGTGATGTGTGGTCTGGGTGGTATGGGTGCCGCGGGGTCTGGGTGCTGTTGGGCTAACAGGAGACGCCCCTACACAGCTCCCTCTCCAGCTGCACTGCTTGTCGGGGACGTGCTCCCTTCGAGCAGAGCTCTTCACTCATTTTCAGAGGGGGAGCCACTTTCGCCGATAAGACGACATCAGTGCTAGGACCACCACACGTTTGAAACCATTGTGTTTAACAGCAGCACGACGATGGAGACGATGGGGGGGTGATCACATTGTTTGTGCATTGTCGGGGGCCGCACGAAAAGGCCACCAGGAGCCGCAATGACCCGCGGGCCTTGCAACGCAGAACACTGCCGGAGACTCCCGTAAGGTGAACTACTATGCAATACATCTAAGCACCCTACTTTACTCGCAGAATGCGCTGTCTTGTTTTGCCTATAACAATATCACTATAAATTATGGACCAACATAAACATTGTTTTGTTCTTCTTTTATGTATTCTTCACAATGCACATATCACATTTAAAAACTAGAACTGATATAACCTCGGTGAATAACATCGGAGTGTTCGTAATTTTCCATTGGTGGTGGTAACAGTCAAGGCAAGCAATTAATAAACAACAAGAGGAGGTCCCCTTGAATCGGTAACAGCCCAGAGCCCCGCATATGAGCGGGTTAATGGTATTCATTCCCTTAATTTACTCGACTATTTAAGCGATTCAGGAATTCTAGACAAGACTCGTTTGAGAATGCATTATTATACTCGCACTTCAATGCCAAATAAGTAGACAGTAGACTTTTGCAGATATAAAATACGGGGATTTATTCAACGCATCGATACTGTGTTTGTAAAATAGTAAATGTGTCTCATACGATCTCAGCATCTTAAGGGTAGGGTGCTTTAATTTGTATTCATTACAAAAGCGTTGTAGCAACAGGTGAGTCATCAAATTGCAGTGCTTGATAATTTCTTTAAATTTCGATTTAAATCTTTCGTGACTGCAGGGATTCATCTTCTTGGTTCTTTCGGTAAAGTCACGTGGAATGGAAATAAAATGATAAAGATAAAACATAATAAAATAAAATTCTCACGACGTTTCGGCCAAAACATAAGTAGCCTTCTTCAGGTGAAGGAACAGAACTGTCGGGACGGAGAAGGCTACTTATGTTGTGGCCGAAACGTCGTGAGGATTTTATTTAATTGTTTTATTATTTTATTTCCATTCTACGTGACTTTACCGAAATAACCAAGAAGATGAATTTCTTTCAAGTATTGTTGATTTCCGTGTGATTGTGACAACACTCAATAACAAAATGGCTTTTTGTATTTTGCACAGTTTTGCTCTAATTCACTATCAACATGGAAACGATCGTCATCCGTCATGATGTATGGCTTGAGCAAATTAAATGCACTTAAACCACCACGATGCTGTCAATTTCACGTCCGCACAATTTTCTGTACACTTGTAAATTGGAAGCGACTACCACATGGCTTTTTAGCAGCTCCTTTGGGGTTGCATCAGTGTTGATTTGGTGCCAAATGTCCACTGCTTAAGATAGGGCCCTATCGCCTGTGATATCGCTGTGTGCCACACTAACAGCTCCTTCAAAAATGAGAACAGGGTGAAAATACCAAAAAAAACCCACCTAGACCCTTTGCCAGTGGTGGTTGCCTTGGCCCTAATATTTTTTCGAGCACCGAGTTATGTGCAATTGAGGTCTTGAGTGTGTGGACAAAGAGAGGTGGTGTTTGAGGAGCCCGAAAAGTGTTCCTCTGCATTCCGTCAAGTTCCCCAAGATGTATTTTTTGTGAACCTGAATGGACGGAAGAACTGATGCTGACACGTTAAAACGTTCAGTCGTGAGCAGGTATAAACCGAGTCACCATGTCCAGCGCAGGCAAGAAGGCCACATCCTGGGTTGTCACCGAGTTCTCTCGCAAGTCAGCAATGGCTGTCTAACAATTGTTTAGATGCACCAAATTTATCAGGAGCAGTTATAATTCAGGAGCACATTTACTTTTAGTTTGGTTTTAAGGTTGCCACCTCTGAGGTACATAAACTTGGGACACATCACGGGAAGAAGAATATCTCAATACCAGATCAAGGGAATAACTACTTGTAAATGCATAGTCTTGAGTGGTGTATTCAAGTTAACCAAGTGATAGGTGAAGAGACCAGGTTAGTTTTAATTTGCAAGGGTGACTTGGGGTGTTAGTCTGCTAGTAGGTGGCGACGGTTGCTGTGTGTAATCCCAATTGAGTCGCTTGCGCAACTGACTAAAACCTGGACTGTTAATGTTCCGGGAAGATTGACCGATTTCTCAGAGCACCTACCTCAACAATTCAAGAAAGGTCTTAACACTCATCTATTATAGCGTTGATCTTGCTGTTTGTTGCTGGCTCTTTGAGGTTTTGGGCCTTTGCGTCCGTGCTCAGGAATTGTGTTAAAAGCAGCGGACGATCCTGAAAAACAAAACTCTTCAAATGTGCGCGTTCAAACAATAAAAAAAAATAGATTTACAAGTTTTCCTAACGATGTAGAAATGTGATCAAACCTGCGCACCTTAATACAATGGGCATGTGTTGAGATTGGTCAGTTCGTTAAGAATGCAGTTCCATTGGGAATTTGCAGCATTGTAGCTTGTTGCATAGGTCAAGGTCAACCGACTTTGGTTGCATGGCTGCACAGCCACAGAGCGAGGCAACTCCATCCAAGTCTAATCGGACTCGGCAAGAGGGGGGAAACTATACGAATACACGTTCTTTGAAATAACACTGCGTACATACTTTTATGCTTTTAATACTGTTGTGATACACACGCTGACATGCGGCCAGTCTCACAAAACACCTTCGGTCAACATTTTTCTCAAGTTGCACGACTTGAAATGACGTAGGGAAACTTGCAATGTGTTTCATGCAACTGTACACTGATATCTTTCCGACTGATGCCACATTTTTATTTAGTGACGTTGAGGGGGACCTGTCCAATATCGACTGGCTGGAAATTAGTGATTGCATTTATATATATAACAAAAAAAAGTTGCATAGTTGGAAAAAAAATATATGTTTTTGATTTCAAATAAATTCACCAGAACACTTTAAAAGAGAGGTTCTTTGACAAAACATTACATTATCAGAGCTTATATTTTTGTTCATCTGAATTAAAAATCGAGAAGGCCCTGTCAGAATGTGTTCCGTCTGCAGTCGAGCTTTGGGCATTGTTAGTTCGAAGTTCATATGCAGTAACGGAGCCCACGTATTGCCTGGCCGACGTGATCAGCTCAGCCCTTTGATTACACTCAATCCACAAACATTGACTTCTGGGATTTAAAAAGTATTTTTAATACTGCACTTCTACAACTATTACACGTGGTACTGTCAGAAAGTGGTATCAGCAAACACATTGGCAGGAAGAGGTGAGAGGAGACAGCCATGAGGAAACCTTTCCCCAGCCGTCAAGCTATAAGACAAACTTTCATTTCACTTGAGAGAGAATGCCACGGCTCCCCGAAGCCTTTCACATGAGTGCACTGAGGTTTTTTAAACTCCAAGTGTAGTTTAAAAATAAACTGTCATTTTTTTTATATTGTGCATTCGATGAACCACTGTGTAAATTCTGCTGCCTGGGAATACTCAAGACTGACTGGTTCAACGCACACTTACATGTAATAATATTGCCTCCCAAATAAACTTTAGAATGACAGGAAATTTTTCCAATTGTGCACTCCTGGCCTCAATACAGTACAGAATGTGTACTGCAGCTAAGTCTTGGCCCAGAGTTTGAGAAAAACTACGGTTGCCACAATGGAATCTTCCACGATACAATACAATATTGTATTGAGAGTTTTTATAGTCCTGGTTTTGTGATTTCATGTGTGTAAAGTACGCATAAAGATTGCGTAAAATTATTCAATATAAACCTGCCATAAGTCTTCTAATCGTTGCAACTTTACAAACTAAAATGCTTCATGACCAACTATTATGACGATAAAATTATACTTTCTAAACGTGTGATAGGACTATCGTGGACCTTAAATCGTACGATTTATCGGAGTACCGCAATATTGCAGCAGCCTTCGTGAGCCATTCTCTGATTCTGCTTAAGTGAAACGTGAGTTGTCGCAGCGTCCTGGAAAACGCGCAGCTCGCGGTGGAGCGACCGCACTCTCCGCGAGCATCTTCTGCGTTGCCCCCGCCGCCCTCCGCCCGCGCCGAGCCCAGCGGCGTCGGCGTCCTCACTGCGAGGGGCAGGCGAGCGGCTGCACCCCGCGGAGGCTGGCGGCCTTGGCGAGGTCCACGGGCAGCGTCTGCTGGGGCCTCACCAGCTGCAGGCCCCGCATGCAGCCCTGGAAGGGCGTCTTGCTGCTCAGCGCGAACTGCACCGAGCCGGCTGCAAGAGAAAGGCAGAGAATGGCGGCGTTCCACGCTCCCCGCCCCTCACGCGTGCCTCCCGCGTGCACGCTCGTTCTCTTGCCAAGCTACTCCTCGCTCAGGACTCGGCGACCACGCTACGTTAGGGAACAATACACATGGACGACACACACGCTACCCGCAGTCTACGTCAAGTAAGCAAAGCGCATATTCACAAGAGTCTAATTTGCACACGTTTTGCATTGTCTGTGTATTTGTTTTATCCTGGCCATGCCTCCCCTCCATTTATCCACCACTGAATCAAGACATTCTTAAGCCGGTGCTAACTGCCTCAGTCTTGTGATAAAGTAATACATTTGGCTTCTGTACAGAAGATGATCTCTTCGCTCCATCTCTGCATCGTCTCAGGAGCATTCTCTCCTTTGGCTGCCACTTCATCCTTACCTTCGACCACCGGCCATATTCTGCTCCTGCCCAATCCCTCTTTTCTTCATTACAATTGTCACCATCAGCCATGATCAATGCGCTGCTAAGTGAAAGACGTCCTCTTGGGAGTGAACTCTTGCCTCTTTGGCTGCCATTGCTTTGTTAGCCTCGACCACCGGCCACAATCCCTTCCAGTGACACTTCCTGCCCAAGCCCACGTATTTTTTAACAGTCGAAATTACATATTTAACCCGCGTACATTCTCCATAATCCTCGTGTTCCACTTCCCATGAATCCAAGCACGCATCTCATCGCTCCGTGCTTCCTCATGTGAACGAGCATCGGGACCGTGCGGAGCGCGGGGGGCAGCGCCGTACCAGGGAAGCCGCCCAGGTAGACGGGTCGGTTGGTGTCGGCCGACGTGGAGGACTTCACCGGCGACTGCGCGGTGACCATCGCCCCGTCGACGCGCAGCTCCAGCTGGTGCTTGATCTTCTTGGCGCTGACGGCGTGCCAGCGCCCGTCGCACAGGGAGCCGCCCGCGCCCGGATCGTAGACAGCCGTGAACCGACCTGGTCCGTTATCGGCGCTGAACAACAGCTGTCGGGAACCGTGGTTAAAAGAGGGCATCTCAGTTATACCTTAATCCATATTATTTGTCCATTAATCCACCGATCTTTCTGTCAATTAGCAGGATGTTATCTCCCTCGCCTGATACCTGTTGTATATTTGGAATCGGAATGATCTCTGTCCGTGGTGGTCCTGTGGATTTTTCTCCGGGTCTTGCGCTTTTTCCCTCCATTTTTAGAAACATGTGCTTAGATAGTTTTTCTGCAACTATAATTTCCCACATATGATTATAAAGTCACTTCAATGAGCTATCACGTGTGGCCAGGTCTCCTCTGAAAAAGAGCTAAAAACCCAGTGGGCATTACCTGGTAACAAAAAAAATTTGGATTACCTCTCTTAATCGTCCATCCATCTATCAATCCATTCATCAATATATCCATCACCCTTCCATTCATGTGTGTCATCGCATTACTACTTAACCAGCTGTTACCGTGCCCATTATCAATATAAATTAAAACCAAAATGCGACTTAATATTGTTGTACACAGCCTACATGAATGATATTCGAACACAGTTAAAATAGTTTTCTTTAAAGTTCAGCGTTGTTCATGTGATTTTTGTTGCCACGTATTGAAATGTGTCCAACATCCAGATGCATTTTTATAATGAGTTTATCACCGTGCGTTGTGGTACACTAGGGTGGTGCCCTCGGGATTCCATGCGTACCTTGCCGTCCACAAGTTCCAGACCCACGGCATCGCTCATTTTATTGTGGCTGATGCCGAGCAGGACCCCGTTGCTCTGCACGGAGCGGAACTCCAAAACGACTTCAAAGTCCGTGCCGACTTTATAGGCACTCTCGGCTGGAAGAGAGCACAGGAGGAATGGTCACATTGTAAAGAGTGACAATCGCATAGCAAGTGCGCACATTCACCCGAATTGAAACCTCCATCAGCCATGCAGGCGGTCGGGTGGCTCAGAGGTCGGAGTGCTGAGCCGGTGCCACTGAGTTCGATGTATGTACGTTGAACTTCTTTCGCACCATACGTAGCCAACCATGGTAACTGTAGGTGCGAATCACTGCCCTAGAGTTGATGGTCTCGGCCTGGTTACCAATGACCGGACTAAAATAACACATCACAAACATTTGGTTTTGCACTTAGATTGGATAAGTTCCAGCTCTGAGAAGTATAACATCAATTTGACTGTCATGCAATAAAGATTACTCTCATATGCACAGCAGGTGGGACAGTGCTGGGTTATGTATGGAAAAGTGATCACTTGATGGGATCTCGGAAGTAACTCTGTGATATCCGCTTCCGTTGGCCGCTTTATAACACGAAGGGTTGCACTGCTCTGCTACAGATGTGACTGGATTCTTAGTCTCATGCAGTGATGCGGAGAGCAGAATTGGGATAGAATTTCGGGTATACGGCCAAAGTAAATATATAGACTATGTCCATCAGCCATAGGGTGCCTGAAGGTCGAGGCATTGGCTTACCCAGCTGTGCATATCCAGTCCCGTCAAAATAAGAGCCCTCCTGTGGATTGACATAGCAAACTTCCACGCGGTAGCTGGAGGTCGGCTTATCCATGTCCAGCTGTTTGCCGTTCATGACGAAGTTTTTGATGCAGCCTGGAATGCTGTAGGTCACCTGCATGGGCACAGACAAAGGGTGTTCATTCTTCAAACTCATATCTAAATTACATCTTTTGAGTTGTCAGATTTTTTAATGTGTACACCCCTATTTCGGATCTTATTTAGTTTCATCGTGTGTGCATTTCAAATTGTCATGTTAAGAAAACATTTTTTAAGTACAAAAGAAAAACATCGGAAAAATAACATGAAAAATGTAAACGTGTTTTTACACAAGGTATACCCAGGATAGCAATCATTTCAATTTAAGAATGTAATTTTTTTTTCAAATTTTCACAAAACTTGCGTCAAGTATGGTCGAAATGAATTAACCTGATATTCTTGACACCAGGATCACTACCTTACATTTTGCCTGGTCTGCATGTCTCAATGTGTTCTGCACACACTGACTGCGCCTGATGATCATACACTGAGGATAGATGAACTTTGAGAAGCCACTTGGGGGACTGGGTGGTTGATATAATTGTCGAGGACTGTTTTTATTCTCAGATAATTTAAATTGAACCCATTTGTGTGGCCAATGACCAAACCACCCGAAATAGGGCCTAATTTAATCACATCTCAGAAGCTGAGCAGCTTTGAGCCTGAATAATGCTTGGCTGGGTGGTCATGATGCACACCAGGTGGTCATAGGGCTTCAAATTCATGTTAATTCGTTTAGCCATCCATAATACAGGTTTTTTGGGTTAGATCGCGTGACACATATAAATGTGTCATTAAACCCACCACCGATCGACAAAGCAAATTGGTAAGGTTTGTCACGGAAACAGAACATGCCACTAGTGCAGCACACCAGTGTGTTGAAGAGCAAAGCCACAACAAATAACACCTGTATTATGGATGATATTGGTCACAAAAGCCTACGTGTTAAATCGTTTAACCGTGTGAGAACCCAAAAGAGACCAGGAAAGCCCCATTGCACAGGTGACCTGGATCACCAAATTGACAAATGCAAAATCAAATAAAGTACAGGAAGGAGGTTTGCGAGACCACGTTGTTGTTGTTGGCAGCAGAGGCCACAGCGGTGAATCCCGTTGTACCGCATGGCTACACTCCCACATCCCGCATTCACCAACCCGCGGCGACACCGGTGGGGGCGGCCTTACGTTGCCGATGCGGCGGAGGGTGTAGTTCTGGGGGACGCCGCCGACGTACATCATCCCCACCACGTCCAGAATGGTGGCGCTGGATGGGCCCTGCACCGTCACCCCGTGCGTCTTGTCCAGGGTGAGGGAAGCTCGCTCGTTCTTGCGGGTAATCCGCACCTGCGAATAAGAGACGGAACGTGTCGTTTAATCAAGTCAGTTCCTGGGGCGAAACGTCGGGCGTCGTGCCGAACAATGCGCGGAACGACGCGTTAACGCGTGGCACAGATACAAGGGCACGACCGCACAAAATTGCCTCCTGCTATACGTAGATTGTAAACATGGACATGAGACGGAGGGATGAGATCAACTCGAGTGCAGGTGCTGGGTGTCTCGTTCCATCGCGGGGCCGTGAGAGATGGCGACGGCTTGGGGGGGGGGGACAGTGGGGGCGGGGGGGGCGGTGACACTCACGCTGTGCCACTTCCCGTCGTTGACGGTGCGTGGGATGTGCTTGGTGGACGCTCCCCGGCCCAGGTCAAAGCTGAAGTGCAGCTTCCCCTCCTTGATCTGCAGCGTGAAGAAGTCGGCGTGGTTGATGCGCGCCATATAGAACACCAGCCCGTTCTTCGCCAGCGTCCGCAGCTCCAGCGAGATCACCAACCTGCCGTCGGAGGGCCGGGGGTTTCAGGTCTCAAGTTCGTTTCGTGTAACCAGGCGAGAACTCAGGGGATCAGGGAGAGTCCCATTCGCAAGAGAGACGGAAATTGCCGAAATTTACAAAAGGCGTGTGTGGCATCCGTGGCGCGCGTGTGCACGCACTCCTTCTTGACGGTGGTGTCGTTGAACGCGAAGGCCGTGTGGCTGTTCCTCGAGACGCCGAACTGCTTGGCTCCGCCGAGCGTGACGGGCGACACGTGGGCCGCACACTGCCCCTGCGGGATCGCAGGCGCACGATCAATCCACTGTTAGATGAGGGCAGCCACTCATGGGCTGTGAACCATTCTGTGTGGACCTTTGTAAGTTGGATTTTTCTCCAGTTACTTCGGTTTCCTCCAAAATATAAATGAATCCTCAATGGAATTCTCCAAACATCCCCCAATTGCAGGGTCGTTTCTTACAAAATGTCTCGGAGGACTCATTGAGGCCTCCCTGCAAATATAAATGACATCACTGTTTATTATAGTGAGGACAGAAGCCTGGAGACGACCAGCTGAGTTACGCTTTACATGCCTTTGCTCCACCGTGCGCACGAGCGCACAACGACGCTGACACCGGACTCGCTGGCCGTCGGCCCAAAGCGGCCAGAGGCCCTGCGAGACCCCAAAGGGGGGGACGCGCGACGTGCCGGGGGACTCACGGCGGCGGCGGTGACGGGCGGCGCGGCAGTGGCCACGGCCGCCGGCGGCACCACGGGCGGGGACGGTCGCCTGGCCGGGGGCCTCCTCCGCGGGGCGTCGGGCTCCGGGTGGCCGCCGGGAGCCGGGCCCCGGGTGGGACGAGCGCCGGCCACGGGGGGCGACGCCGTGACGCGCGGCGAGGACGGCAGCGGCTCCAGCTCGGCCGACTTCTCGGCGCCGCGCGCGCCGCCCTCCTTGGGCTCGAAGCTCACGCACTTCCCGATGTCGGCCTTTTCGAACATCACTTGGTTAGCGAAGTCTGCCAGGCTGCGCAGGAGGAAGAGGAGCAGGGATATGGAGGGCGAGGTGTTTTTTGACAAGGACAACAACGAGCCCGCTGGGCACCGTGCCCACCCTGCGCCCACTCAACGTGCGACACGGCACACCGCGCAGGAGGCACGCTGCACACATCCCACACGCATTGCGGGGGCCACCAAACGGTGTCTGGGAGACTGGAGGCAAAATGCCGGATGATGCCCCATCTGAGACCCCTCTCGGCCTTTCGAAAAGCTGCCTTCTGAGGCCCCCTCATATAAGGGGCCCGGGACAAATATCCCACCTGCCTCCTGCCGCAGAGCCGGTTTAGCCCTCCTTTTGTAAAATGATTGCACGGAGCGCGTGCGATGGCGGTGGTGGCAGTGTTGATTAGACGCTTGATAGCGTGGTGGTGCAGGCGCGTGCGATCGTGGCGTTGCGGCGCGGTTGCACGGCGTAGCGGAGGCGGTGCGGCCGGGGGCGGCACTCACACAGAGTTGACGATGAGGTTGCGGATGCAGCCCTGGAAGGACTGGGTGGTCTTGAGGAGAGTGGGGGGCACGGACGGTGGGACGCCCCCCACGTACATCTTCTGCACACGCACGGACGCGGTGCTGGCAAACACCGTCTCCTCCGAGTTGTCCTCGTCCACCTGCACCTTGATGAAGCTGAGCAAGCCAACGTGAGGAGCGACAGGTGATCACGGGTGTCTATAGCTACCTGCACAGGGGCAGTCAGTTCCTGAACAAGCTCACAGCATGTGGAGCGAAACGTCGGACATTGTGCCGAACGGCACGCGACACGACTAGAAAACACACCGCAGAGCTGCCTCTGATGTCTCTACAAGTAACCGCTAGTCCATTGTCTCAGCTTTCATCTATGATTTTGGCCTTGGGGATGTGGCGTCAGTCCTGATATTGTCCTGAGCCTAAAAGTCTCCTGGAGGGTCGGCGAGTTCGGACTGAGGTCACGGGAGTTTGGTGCCGAGCTCGGGAGGTGAGAGGCGATCTCGCTCACCCCTTGCGCCGCGAGACGGTGAGCGAGTGATCCTTCCCATCGTAGAAGATCCCGGCCGAGGGCTGCGCTGACACGAAGGCCTGGGAGCCGTCGGGCACTTGAACGTGGAACATGACACGCCCGTTGAGCAGCATCACGGCGTAGTGCGGCTACGGGAGACACGCGGTGTGGACTTATTTCAGACGATTAATTACATTTTACCACGCCCAGCACAGACACATCCAGTATGTGTGCGTGTTTTTTTGTGTGTGTGCGTGTGTCGTCATGTGCCGTCGTGTGTTGTCGTGTGCGTGCGGTCCTGTGTGTGTGCGTGGCATCGTGCGTGTGTGTGTGGCAGCGTGCCAGTAGAATTCAAAGCCCCATTTGGCTCTTGGTAAGGAAAGGGTTTCCCACCTCTTCTTATGAGTGATAATTAAGGCTAGTATGTTGGCATGGTAATTTTTCTATGTACTACATAATGTATATTTTTATTTTTTCCCGTCCATCCCGGCCCTCGTCCCCACACCGCTGTGAACCGCCGTGTGATGGCGAGACCCCCGCGGCGACGGCACCGCCGGTGTCCCCCCCTCCCCACACTCACGGCGGTGGCCTGACGCCGCGGCCTGCCCACGCGCCCCGCGCCCAGGCCCAGCAGCAGTAGCCCCGTCTTGTTGAGGGTGCTGAAGGACAGCGACACGTCGGCGTCCACCCCCAGCGTCGCTGATTCCAACGAGGGCAGCTCCACGAAGCCCTTGTCCTGCAGGCTCACCGAGTGCGCCGCCTGGGCGAGGGGGGGGGGCGCGTTTGGGGGGGGGGGAGGGTGGGGTGGGTGGGGGGTAGGGGTACAGGCCGAGAGACCAGAGAGGAACACGTGGGTCACGTGGTCGAACGTTCTGACACGGGACGGCACTCGGAGCACGGGACAGAGTCAAGCCGGTGATTCTTTGTCACCAAATGTCAGCACCGATTAGCAACCTCCACTGACCAGCATGGTGGAGTACTGTCAAAGAATCCTTCCAGATCTTCATAAGTGCACACTAACAGCACTGTTAAAATCTATACGGGGATCTCTGTATATGTGAGTAATGACATCAGAAGTGAGATGAGATAGTGGCGTCGGAGGGCAGTGAGCAATGACTTTGTGAGGCATTTACAGACCGTGGCTGATGATGATAATGATGATGACAATGTCGAGATAGTAGACACAGTCCGTGCGGGGGAATGCAGTAAAGCAACGGGGCCCAGCAGCCGTTCCGTGTCCTCACGTCGAGCGCGCAGCCCTTGCGGATGCCCAGGGAATCCTGGCTGCTGAGCAGGCCGTGGAAGCTGCCCGCGATCTCCACGTCCCTCAAACAGCCCGCAAAGTTGCGGGAGGCCAGCTCCGACCTGCGCCACACGCACGGACACAACGAGCGGCTCGAAACCCGGGTCGTCGCGCTGCGGGTGGCCGTCGCGCTGCCCAGCGGCGGCACATTCGCCGCTTGCGGCGTGCACCCGACGGGCCGCCCTGGTTACGATTGTAGGTCGGTTATCGGTTGTTCGTCTGTTTCCTGCTGGATGTTCAAGATCCCGTGATGTCGTTTGAAAAAGTGTTGGCCACGCCTGCCGGCGTCACGGTCCAAATTCGCCACGTTTTATATTCCGCCCGCAAATCACTTATTTGGGAATCCACTTAGCAATGTTGCCCCCTGCTGGCAGAGCAATGCTCAGTTGCTGCCCGGTGCTCCGTTCATAGGGACAGCTTCCATCAGCGGGGGCCACCCCCCCGGATAGATTTAGAACAGGGCACCTCGAGACGCCCTGCACGGGAGGCGTGAATATTGAGCGATGGTGGCGACGGGAGGGAGAGACACGCGACACGGGGCCGGGGGTCCGCGCACGTGCCACCCCCGTGGCTTTCCCCGCCAGCGGGCCTCCCTCAGCGACAGAAGAGGGCTCGGCGGCTCAAAGCTGAGGCTGCTGCGTCACATGCGGTGGCTTTTAGCCATGCAGAGGCAGCCTGCGGCCTCGGGTGGCGGCACAGGAACGGTGTTAGCTGCAGAGGTTAAACCGCGACCGGCTGTGAAGGCGGCTGCTGCATGCTGTCCACGTTTGGCCGAGACAGTCCCGGTGCTTTGCAGAAGGCCCTGGTCCCGATGTCCCGGAGCAGTTTGTGAAAGTTGGGATTTTGTGGGGGGCTTTCCGAGGAGTGGGCGCGGTGGTCAGTGGAATTGGCGACGTTTTGGGCATAGGCCCTTCTTCAGAGCAGAGAGCTAGGAAAGGGTCATTGCCTGAAATGTCGCCTATTATATTATTGCTTCTCTCCAGACAGTGTTATTGCCGAACGCGTGAGATTTTGGTTACTCGAGGCTAGAAAGCGTGCTGCCGAGATGGCCGCAGCCAAAGAAGAAAGCACGGCTCGAGGAAGATGCGACAAGATCCGAGTGTCGGATCGTGGCGGCGTGAAGGATCGAGGTAGCGAAACGCGTTGGCAATCGAGTGTCGTGGCCGAGAGCAATCGGATGTCGTTACCTCACGCGCACACTGAGGCGAGCGCCGCGGTCCAAACGGAGACAAAAAAAACACAGTAACACAGATCGTGAGTATCGAGTCACAGCAAACAACCACGAACAACAGTGCACACAGCACATCGCGGAACGCACGCGGCGGCGGCGACGACCGAGGTCGGGTGAAATGCAGACGCCGGTCCATTTCCATTTGGCCGCTCATGTGACGGGGTGCCCAGGACCGCTTCGGATGTGACTCGCCACCGATGTCAGCCGTGACCGGGCATCGAACTCGGGTGATGCCAGGTTCACACGCGTAAGAATCGCAAGTGCAACAAATCGACGTTTTTTTTTATTTGCACGTGATGGGTTCATTCCGTGCGCATCGTGGCACCCCTGCTACTAAACACTGCGGGCAGTCCCATCGGGGGGGAGGGGGGGGCACTTACTGTGTCACTGAGAAGTACGAAGGGGCTAGACAAACGGACGGCACGATCGTCGCGGACCTCGCTATCGTACGACGCATCGGAGTATCGCCCGGTCACGCACGCCGTGCTCCCCGCGACGCCGACGGGCCGTGGAGAGGGGGGCGAGGGGAGATCGGCGCTCACCTGGCGTTGTGGCCGCTGGGGATGCCACCGATGTAGAATTTGTCCTTGCTCTGGAGGTTGAGGCCGGTGGCGCCCCCGGGGGACGACCCGGCCACCTCCTCCGTCTGCTTGCTGTCGCGAATGTCCACGAGACGCAGCTTCCCTGGAGGGGGCGCACGGCCGGTGACGCACGCACGCGTTCACACGGTGCGTGCGTCCGCGCCGTGTCGAACTGTGCGGTGTCTCAACGTGCGGCCGGATCGACACACTGTATAGATCGGCGCGTACTGCCTCGTTCAGAGACGCGGTCATTCCCGAAAAGTATAGAGCAAAAACGGAAACGTGAGTAACGAAGCGTGGACAGACACGCGCTTGGAACTACACTGAGATCCAGAAAAAGGAACGCACGGCTCGCAGAACACGCGCAGGTGAAGGACTGACTATCCAGACCGTTCAAAAAAGTGAAGCAGGCTTGGGCAGGCCAAGTCACGGGGGGGGTGCGGGGCCCGGGTCAAATCGCACCGCGTGGCCCCCCCAACGCCTTCAAACTAAACTGGAAGGATCACATCTGACACCGTGACGTAGACGCGTAAGGCCCCCCCTAGGGACGAATCTGGTGATGAGGTGAAGGTGATGAGGTGAAGGCGAGGGTGAGGAGGTGAGGGTGATGAGGTGAAGGCGAGGGTGAGGAGGTGAAGGTGATGAGGTGAAGGCGAGGGTGAGGAGGTGAAGGTGATGAGGTGAAGGCGAGGGTGAGGAGGTGAAGGTGATGAGGTGAAGGCGAGGGTGAGGAGGTGAGGGTGATGAAGTGAAGGCGAGGGTGAGGAGGTGAAGGTGATGAGGTGAAGGCGAGGAGGTGAGGGTGATGAGGTGAAGGCGAGGGTGAGGAGGTGAGGGTGATGAGGTGAAGGCGAGGGTGAGGAGGTGAGGGTGATGAGGTGAAGGCGAGGGTGAGGAGGTGAGGGTGATGAGGTGAAGGCGAGGGTGAGGAGATGAAGGCGAGGGTGAGGAGGTGAGGGTGATGAGGTGAAGGCGAGGGTGAGGAGGTGAGGGTGATGAGGTGAAGGCGAGGGTGAGGAGGTGAGGGTGATGAGGTGAAGGCGAGGGTGAGGAGGTGAGGGTGATGAGGTGAAGGCGAGGGTGAGGAGGTGAGGGTGATGAGGTGAAGGCGAGGGTGAGGAGATGAAGGCGAGGGTGAGGAGGTGAGGGTGATGAGGTGAAGGCGAGGGTGAGGAGGTGAGGGTGATGAGGTGAAGGCGAGGGTGAGGAGGTCAGGGTGATGAGGTGAAGGCGAGGGTGAGGAGGTGAGGGTGATGAGGTGAAGGCGAGGGTGAGGAGGTGAAGGTGATGAGGTGAAGGCGAGGGTGAGGAGGTGAAGGTGATGAGGTGAAGGCGAGGGTGAGGAGGTGATGGTGATGAGGTGAAGGCGAGGGTGAGGAGGTGAGGGTGATGAAGTGAAGGCGAGGGTGAGGAGGTGAAGGTGATGAGGTGAAGGCGAGGAGGTGAGGGTGATGAGGTGAAGGCGAGGGTGAGGAGGTGAGGGTGATGAGGTGAAGGCGAGGGTGAGGAGGTGAGGGTGATGAGGTGAAGGCGAGGGTGAGGAGGTGAGGGTGATGAGGTGAAGGCGAGGGTGAGGAGATGAAGGCGAGGGTGAGGAGGTGAGGGTGATGAGGTGAAGGCGAGGGTGAGGAGGTGAAGGTGATGAGGTGAAGGCGAGGGTGAGGAGGTGAGGGTGATGAGGTGAAGGCGAGGGTGAGGAGGTGAGGGTGATGAGGTGAAGGCGAGGGTGAGGAGGTGAGGGTGATGAGGTGAAGGCGAGGGTGAGGAGATGAAGGCGAGGGTGAGGAGGTGAGGGTGATGAGGTGAAGGCGAGGGTGAGGAGGTGAGGGTGATGAGGTGAAGGCGAGGGTGAGGAGGTCAGGGTGATGAGGTGAAGGCGAGGGTGAGGAGGTGAGGGTGATGAGGTGAAGGCGAGGGTGAGGAGGTGAGCGTGAGGGCGCGAGTGCGGCGAGCCGCGGAGGAGGCACCGGCTTTGCCGTTGCGTCCGAAGTTGAGCGACTTCCAGGTGCCGTCGTTGTAGCGACGGCTCGTGCTGATGCGGCCCACGCCGCTGCCCAGGTCGTACATCACCCTCACGTGGCCGTCCACCAGCTCCACCGACAGGAAGTCTTTCTGCGGGCGGCAACGCGGCACGAGCGCTCGCTTAGCACGGTTGGCTACATACAGAGTCGCATCACGACGCGGCCGTGGCGGCGCTTCGCGTGCCGCCCCATGAACCCGGTGACCCGAGTTCCATTCTCCACCAAGGATAATGTCGGTGGCGAGTCCTGTGTATGGGGCCCACAGACGTGGCTAGACGCGGTACAACGATGGATGTTGCCGTACTGCCCTCTGTTACACACCACACAGCCCCGCAGGCGCTGTGGCAGCATCCCCTGCGTGGTGGTCACTGGTGACCCATCCAAGCACTGGCCAGGCTCAATTCTGCTCGGCTTCCGAGATGTGACGAGATTGGGGAGCATTCCAGGTGATTTGGCCAAAGGCTTGCAACGTTCATCATCATGAGTGGTGCACAGGTACAATAGAATAGAAGAGCACTTTAGGGCACAGCTCAAAATGGGCTACGGCCTGCAAGCAAAAGCCACCGGGCACTTGAATCGTCCACGCGAAATCAAGTCGAGCATTTGAGACGATTTAATCCGTGGAGCGCCGCTCGGCCGCCCGGCGCACCGTGTCCCTGGTGGCCGAGTAGAGGAGGAGGGCGTTAGCGGAGAAGGTGCGGAACTTGAAGACGAGCACGGTGGTGTTGACGTTCCAGCGCATGGGCCGCTGTGCCGCAGAGTACCCCTCGCCGTCAAACTGCACCGTGCCCTCGTCGTCTTTGGGCTGAGGGCTGAACACGCGCACACAAAGACAAAGATCCCCCGTATAGCCTGAACAGACTGTTGGGGCAAGTGCTGTTAGCGAGCACCTATGAAGGCTGGCACGGCACACGAGGGGGTGGGTGGCCAGCACCACGCCCGGCCGCCTTTGTCTCCCCAGTGGCGATGTTTACGCATCGCACCAGGTACTCACCGTTGTTGGCCGCGAGCGGGAATTGAACCCGGGTCGCCAGGTTCGTAGCGCGGAGTGCTAACCGCTACACCACCGCTCCCCACACGCACACACACATACACGTGCATACGTGTACACACGCACACACAGGGCAAAGACACAGATCCCACGTGAGCTGATTATGCAGCCACATCGATTAGGGGGGGCAACGCTTCTGAAGCCATCGACTAATTACATTGACAACCCAGTTTGGTCACAGGCGGCTGCCTGGCTTTGACCCAAGGTTCTCAGGGGGGGGTGGCTCAGCGCTCCGACCTCCGGCCAACCCGGCCTCCCCCCATCATCGCCTTGCACTCTGTTAGAGGCCTGGAGCCAGGGCTGTGGTGGCAGGGGTGCAGCTGCACTGTGGCCCCCTGCAAAATAGATGACAGACACACAGCTACTGTGCTATCGTGTATTGGTGTCGCCACCCTACGCGTAGTGCCGGCAAACCTTAAATAACGAACGTCTAATTAAACTGAACTAAAATCATTGCATCACATCTACGATTGAACACTGCGCCCACTGTTCGTGCGCCGCTGTGCATTTTAAAAAAAAGCATCGTGAGCGGTGAACGTTCGGGAACCAGCGCGTGGCACTGGCAGGAAGTCAAGGTCTCGGGATTGGCTGTCGAAATGTCCGGAGATGAAATCACGATAATCGGAGAAAAGCATCATCTTGGAGATCTCACCTCACACATAATTGTTCATGTGCATTCAAAGGTTCCGTAGTCGGCTTAATCAGGATCAACATTTCTGTGATTTTGTGCATCCTGGGGGTGTCCGGACTGCCACAGTGACCCCCACGGAGGCCTCACCTCACGATGCAGCCCGAGCAGTCGCCCCCCGTGCTGCGGAAGTTCCAGAGGCCGATGGACTTGCCGTCGAGGAACGCCTCCCCCATGCAGCCCGTGAAGGCGGTGAACTTGACCGTGTCGTGTTTCTACGGGGGAACGGAAGAGTCGAGCGAATGTTCACGGCGCCGTGGACGTGCGGCGGTCATCGCCGGGCCGTACACTCCACAACGTCGCCGCCTTGAGGCTCACTCAACGCCCAATGAGTCGTCTTTGTCGAACTTTCAGGGAATCGTCACGATTCAGGAACCCGATTCGGGAAGAGATTCTGTTTCGTCTCGTTAGTACGCATCCCAACCAAGGTTGAATGTGTATATACGCTACGCACGGTTAATTCGCGCATCGATTACTGAAAATGAACAATGCTGTAGCATGAAGGTGTGTTGATGTTCGGTATTTAAATCAGCAAAATTTATCAAAAGAGGGACACAAATTGGAGCAAAAAAGACTTTGTGTGCGCAATATTATTTATAACTCGTTATTGTGCATGCGCGTGCACACGAGTACGTGCGTGCGTGAGTGCATGCGTACATGAGTGCGCGAGTGAGTGAGTGCGTGCGTGAGTGTGTGAGTGAGTGTGTGAGTGAGTGTGTGAGTGAGTGTGTGAGTGAGTGTGCGAGTGAATGTGACTGCCCGAGTGAGTGCGCGAGTGAGTGAGTGCGTGCGTCCTGCACAGATGCCATATTTTCTGTCCGTCTGCTACAGCAGAGGTGTAGGGAATTCCAACAAGACCTACATCTCTGCTTTATTGACCTGGTCAAGGCCTATGATACCATCAGTAGGCCTGGGCTCTGGGTCGTTCTTCGTGCTTTTGGAGTACCTGACCCTCTGCTCACGATCCTTAAGGACCTTCATGATGGTGAGCGGGCCCGGGTAAAACTACGTGGCCGGGAGTCAGAGCCATTCCCCGTACACCTTGGGGTGCGACAGGGATGTCCTCTGGCTCCCACATTATTTAACATCTATTTTGACCACGTAGTTCGTGAAGCCTTCAATAGCTGTACCGGGGGAATCTCCATATGGTACAGATATAATGGGAGGCTGATTGATGCCCGGGTGCGGTCAAGGGATGACTCCCTATTGGTCAACCACGTTATGTATGCTGATGATTTGGTAATAGCTGCTCAGTCAGAGGAGGAGTTGGAGACGCTGCTGCTGAGACTGGAGCGTGCCACTAAGAGGTGGGGCCTTACCATCAGCCCCACCAAAACTAAGCACCTGCCTGGGTATTTTGTACCATCGGACACTCCACCCCCACAACTCCCAATCGGTGATGGGGCAGTTGTGGATAGAGTGGAGAGTTTCCCATACCTGGGTAGTGTGCTTATGACTGGCTCCAGTTTAACAGCAGAGGTCTCACTCCGAATCAGTCGAGCGGCAATATCTTTTCATCGGTTGCGTAACACTGTGTGGAAGCTACCTGGTCTGTCGCTCCGCACTAAGCTTCAGGTCTTCTCGGCCACGGTCATTCCCTCCCTTCTCTACGCTTGCGAAACGTGGACCCCCCTAATGGAACATCTTCGCCGGTTAGAAACATTTAGGCTGGCCTGCCTACGATCCATCCTGGGTTTAACCAGACTGGATTGTGTGAGAAGCTCACAAATCCTTGAAAGATCTGGGCAAGGTCCCATCGGTGAGCTCCTCCGGCGGGCAAGGCTGCGATGGCTGGGTCATGTAGCCCGCATGCCCAGCCAACGCATGCCGAAACAGCTTTTGTTCGGCCGGATTGAGGGGGCTAAGCGGGCGCGGCACGGGCTAGAGAAGAGATGGAGTGATGTGGTACAGGAGGACGTGGAGCTGAGTGGACTTGCCGATGAATGGTACCAGCGGTGTCAAGATCGACCTCTGTGGAGGAGGCTCGTGAAGGATGCTACTGGGCAGTTGGAGGTAGTCGCCCTCCAACAACAACGGAAGGCGGAGGAGCGACGCTCACAACAACGAGCGGAGCGCCGGGTGGCTAAAGCACAGCAGGTTGGCACAGTAGGGGGCACAGGTGGTGCATCAGCCAGTGATCTCAGTCAGTCGACCCGTGGCACCTGGGTCTGCCCCGTGACCTCCTGCCAGCGGGCGTTCGACACTTCACGTGGCCTCAGGGTGCACATAGCCTGGCACAAGCGTCGTGGTGACGTCACCGCCACTTAGTGGCGAATGGCGGTTGTTGTTGTTGTGTGAGTGAGTGTGTGAGTGTGTGAGCGTGTGAGTGTGTGAGTGAATGTGACTGCCCGAGTGAGAGTGCGAGTGAGTGCGTGAGTGTGTGAGCGTGTGAGTGAGTGTGCGAGTGAATGTGACTGCCCGAGTGAGAGTGCGAGTGAGTGAGTGCGTGCGTGAGTGTGTGAGCGTGTGAGTGTGCGAGTGAATGTGACTGCCCGAGTGAGAGTGCGAGTGAGTGCGTGAGTGTGTGAGCGTGTGAGTGAGTGTATGTGACTGCACGAGTAAGTGTGCGAGTGAGTGCGTGAGTGTGTGAGCGTGTGAGTGAGTGTGCGAGTGAATGTGACTGCCCGAGTGAGTGTGCGAGTGAGTGCGTGCGTGCCTCACCTTGACGGTGGTGCCGGGGAAGCCGCCCACGAACAGCTTGGCGTTGTTGTCCACGTCCAGGATGGTGTAGCCCTTGGGGGACTGCCCCGTCTGCTTAGTGGGCTCCCGGCCTCCCACCAGCGCCTTCACCGACAGCGAGCCGCTGATGCCGGATCTGGCCGAGACGCCGGTCGATGCAGCGGGGGGCGATGGAGAACAACAACAACAATTCACTTTCACTTCGCAAGAGGTAAAGGTGCAGCCCTGCAACTGCTTGCTCGCACCACTGCTGGTGGAAGGGTCTTTACGAGAGGGATCGCTCGAGAGACAGGCTGTCTTTGGCCTACTCTTCCACGCTGGCCAAACGTCTCGGAAGAGAAGGGAGTGTCCACGCTTAACCCCGCCACACGTGACCCACCGATCGACCGACCGCGGTTGTGTCAATCCATACTGCTGGGGGCACTGCGGTGTAGAATAGCAGTTCACGTAAAGTAACCGTTACATTTTATTTATCTAAACACCGGCTGGGGGCTGCCCTCGAAGACGGGCACCACCTCACGTCGAGCGCATGGCCCGCTGTTAACATTTCCACTTTGGCAGAGCGTGCCCTTGCACGTTCACGTCGCGAAATGCCGCACCTCTCCGCGTCGATGCGGTACCACACGTTGTTGTGGATCTCCAGCTCCGGGTAGTCCACCTTGCCCACGCCCGAGCCCACGTCCCACTGGAACACGACGCGGCCGTGCCGCATCTCGATCGCCATGAAGTCCGTCTGCGCGCGGGGCAAGCGGGACAAAGATGCGCGACGCTGTCAGCCCCGCCCACTTTTACACAGCCACGCCCATCCACCCACTAGCACCACCCACTTCGTTCGAGGCCTCTGGCTGACTTTTATTGATGTTGACTCCACCCACTATTCAGGTAGCCCCACCCACTATTCAGGTAGCCCCACCCACTGTTCAGGTAACCCCACCCCACTGTTCAGGTAACCCCACCCACCACTCAAGTATCCCCACCCACTGTTCAGGTAACCCCACTCACTGTTCAGGTAAACCCACCCACTACTCAGGTCGCCCCACCCACTAATCAGATATCCCCATCCACTACTCAAATCCACATTTTGCCCCGCATCACAAGCCTTTCTGAAACCACAGGGAACGTCAAGACCATATTAGGGCATTTGGCCGCTTAATGTGGGTGGGGCGCGCCGTGCCCTCACCGTGTTGGCGCTGGCCAGGTAGAAGAGCAGGTTGTCGGGCACGGTTGTCTTGACGTTGAGCGTCACCGTGTTGTACTTGCCCTTCTTGATGTCGGCGCGGTACGTTCGCACGCAGCTCCCGCCCGACGCCACCGACACTTTGATCTGCGAGCGGAGTCGAGGCGGCCAAACCGGCGTCAGCACTGGGGACGGCCGCGTGCACGGCCGGGCACAGCCTCTCACAGCTGTGGGCTCGGGGACACCGCCACAAACCCGACACGCACATCCACTCGCCACCGCTGGCGCAGCGTGGTCGGCGTGCGACGTGGTAGCCAGGAATGCGGTGGGCTACTCCGTCCGCTTACCCTGCCCCTCCACCACGTGGGTACCGGTGCAGTTGCACCGCCTGCGTACTCGATAGCTACGCCGCTGGCCACCCCCACGCGCTGCCACCAACTACCGATCGCTGCCACGGTCGTCTACGCGTTGTCACCTCCCACCGTGCACCACCACGTACAGCTATGAACCATCACGACTATCTACCATGAACATCTACACAGCCACCTACCTCCGTAGACAACCAGAGATGATCACACGCATCTATCCACAGCCATCCGCCATAATCCACCCTTGTATGCAACCGTGAAGCTCCATGCATGTCACCTTCACCCATGGGTCACAAACAGGGCTACACTTCTCAATCGATATTTTCCAAAATGCTGCGGGGCTGGCTGGGAGTAGCGATCACCAGCGTTAGGCACTATCACGTGATTGCAAGGTACGCCTATCCATCAATATCTTATATTATAATTGTACCAAAAATACCTATAATCCAATGAGAACACGTTTGTATCACGAGGGCAAAGCAAGGTAAAATGAATGTAGCTGGGTGCAAAATGAATCCCAGAGCAGTGATCCGGGCTCTTCGGGCCAAAACCAATCGCGGACGGCCCAGTGGCCCAGGCGTGAGGGTCACGGCCACTCACCGAGGCGGCCTGCTTGCGGGCCTGGTTGATGAGGTTCTTGATCTGGGACAGGTTCTTGTTGAGGTTCGACTCCAGCACCTGGATGGGCTTGAGTTTCTCGAGGAGGCGGTTCACCTCGTCGTCCACGGCCTTTGCCTTGTCGGCCGCCTCGGCAACTGCGCAGGCCGCACCGGGCACACGGTTACCACGCGTCGACGGTGTCGCCATGGTTACCGCGCATCGACGGTGTCGCCATGGTTACCGCGCGTCGACGTTTTCACCACGGTTACCGCGCGTTGACGGTGTCGCCAAGGTTACCGCGCGTCGATGGTGTCGCCAAGGCTACCGCGCGTCGACGCTGTCGCCATGGTTACCGCGCATCGACGACGTCGCCACGGTTAGCGTCAACGACGTCGCCTACTAGCAGAGGCGAGCGCCACTGCGACATCGTGTGTTACGAAGCGACGTCCATTCTCAGACAAATTTGGGGGCAGATGCTCGAAAGGAGGAGAGGTGGCCGAGCATGCAGCCACAACGCACGCCCCTTACGCAGGCCACAGCGAAGTGCACCGTGCAACTCATGCTCAGGCGAGTAGGGGGACGAGGAGGGAGAGGAGGGGAATGAGTGGGAGGAGGAGGGGGGAGAGGAGGGGGAGGAGGAGGTGCGATGGAACAGACACGAGGTACGTACTGATTCCTGGCGGGCATGGAAAGGAGACAGGAACCCAAACATGGAAAGGAGAAGAAGAGAGAAAAACGACATCAGTGGCTGTGAACGACGATCCACCGCAAGAAGCTCACGTGAGTGTGGTCAGCAGGGCACCGGATGGCGTGGGTCATTGAGGGTTAAAGTGAAGGTAAGGAAGGCCCCTGCACAAATGGGCAACGGGAGGGGCGGCGCTCATTTACACCGGCGGCCCTGAGCCAGTGCGAGAAATTCCACATTCCCATGGCGGAGACTCGTCTCTCCTTGGGCAGTCCGAATGTGTACATGCACACGGACAGCCCCTTGACGAGTCCACTCCTGGATGAGGGCCTCGTCACGCTGTGGGGGTCGTGGGGGTCATTGCTACTCTGGTGGTGGTGGTACCGCCCAGGCTGCTCAATTCCCCCCCCCCCCTCCCTTGTCTTCGTAGCCCCAGGGCTCGGGCCCCCTTCCTGCCCGCGGGACCTCGGCGCAGCTGCACCGCCTGCATACTCCATAGGTGACAGGGCCGGCCGGCAAAAACGGTTCGTGCCTCCGACTCAGCGGCCGCCCCGGTCAACACTGCGCCTGTGCTGTCCGCCGTATAAAAGAAGCGCCGCCGGCTCCTCCGCGGGGTGACGTCACAGATCCCCTTGGCGTGGAGCAGCTACAAGTTTATTAATTTATTTACAAACGATCGCCTGCACCGCCAAACCACCGCGGACTCTAGCCACCTGCGCGACGCCATCACCGCAGCCTGGCGCTCGCGCGAACGGGGCGGTCGCGAGAGCGCGGGGGTCACGTACTGTTCTTGCCGGAGTCGTTGATGAAGTCGTTGGTCTTGCGCGTGTCCTGGTTCAGCTTGTTGTAGTCCTCGTTGATTTTGGCCAGCTGCTTGTTCAGGTCCTTGGTCTCGGCGAGCAGCGCCCCGGCGGACTCGTTGGCCATCCGCGCCTTGTCCTTGGCCTGCACGATCTTCGCGCCGGTGTCTTCACAAACAGCCGCACGTCACGGTCATTTCCCGTTTACAGCCCAGAGTCAGCGGTGGGAATTCCACGTTCACATGGCGGGGGTCGAGTCTATCCATGGGAACACCGCCGTTGACTTCCCCACAGTGGTACTAGTTTAATGGAACCAAGAGAGATGATGGGGCGAGGTAAACCCCTCAAAACAGGGTTGGAACTCACAACCTTCCAATTGAGAGCCGCCTGCTCTACCGCTGAGCCACCTGGCCAGGTTCACAAACACATTGTAGACACTTGCACGCATGCTTGTAGGTATCTATGCATTGTACGTACATGTGGAATCCCGCCGTGAGCCCTCGGTAACAAATGTTTAACCCTTGACCCTTGATCGTTAGGGGCCCCCCTTCACGTGTGCGTCACGTGCGTGAAGACGCCAGCGCTCGGTGCCGCAGCGTGGTCGGCATGGGCCCCGGGTCCCCCTCCCCCGCTCCACCCCCACACCTCCACCGAGGCCCTGGTGCAGTTGCACCGCCCGCAGGCTGGATGGCGGAGCCGCCGCCCTGCCCCCTACTCACCGTTGGGAATCATGCGCAGCATCGCCACCGCGTCGTTCAGCCGCCTCTCCAGCTCCGTCTGCTCTCGGTTGCCTTTGGCGATGCGGTCGCTCACGCCGCCCGTTTGGTTCTTGAGGCCTGCGCAGACCGACGATCGTGGCTCGCGACGGCTCGCGACGGCTCGCGACGACGGCCAGCGCCGCTGGACTGGCGGTTCAACCGTCGCCCCATCGGTTCCATCTCCCGGCGCGGCGGTTGAATCGACGGCCCAAGTTTAATAAACCAAAACCAACCCCACCCGCCCCTGCGCCCCTCCTCTGTCCGGCCGCCAGTGCGAATGTGTGCAGCGCGGTTAATCGATCGGAGGGTGCCGTGTGCGGTGGGGTAAAGTGAGGGCACTCCCACTTCTTCCAAGACCAGCGTGGAAGAGTGGCAAAACTACCCTCTGTAGGGACTCTCCAGAGCTCCTGACAGCGGAGGCCCCCTTCTGCCAGCAATGGAAGTTTCGGGGCTGCGCTTTTACCCGCCAGCTGTGATTGTAACGCGCCAGGCGAGCGAAGTCCGTACCGTCCACTTGCTTGCCCAGCTTCTTGGCTTCGTTGTTCAGGCCGAAGCTCTGCTGCAGGGAGCTCTTGGCAGCGTCCTTCAGGGACCCATCGAGACCCGGACCGGAGGCCTGGGCACAGCACGGGGACCACAGGGCACCAGAGTTGATCACGTGATGGAACAGGGTGAGCGAGTGGTGGCTGACAAATAGCCGTGTAGAATAATAATAATCATAATACAAATTCATTTTGCAATTTATTTGGCGAAATTGCTGCTACGAGAATACAAAATATTGGTTTGAGTGTTATTAGAAGAACATTACTGTTGGTGCAGAGGGGGTGGGAGGGTGATGGGGATAGAGCGGATGGGAGGGTGGTGTCCCCTCCTGTGTGTTTTATTTCAACACAATCGTAGAGCACAGGCACAAAACGTTGTACGAGATTAAAGTTGTACGAGTTAACGCATTTCTTGATGCAGAGGTCACTTGAAGAGAACTCAGTGATAGCTCTGTAAAATATCCACATCCGTGGGTTCAGTTTGCATAACGCGGAGGGTCAAAAAGGATTCTTAGCCTCGTAGCGGCACCACGAGTCGTGCCGCACCGCAGTGCTCACCCCTGCGGAGTCGGCTCGCTCCCCCACGCGCCCACGCGCCCGCTCACCATGCGGTGGGCGTCGTGCGCCACATCGCCCGCCTCCCGCGCCAGCCGCTCGGCCTCATCGATGTTGCCCTTGATCTTGGTGTAGGCCTTCACGGCCGCGGTGGCGTTGAACGACACGTTCTTCGCTTCCGCCAGGATCCTGTCGCGATGGAGGAGAGCGCAGAGGGGCTCGTGAGCAACGCCTAGGGAGAGCCGAGTGGCGAGACGATGAAGGTTCAGCGGCGGGGGTGGTGGGGGTGGTGGGGGTAGTGGGGGGGGGGGGGGCTCTGCGTACCCGTCGAGGCGATTGGCCGCCTCCTGCAGATGTGCCGAGTGGTTGGCCGCTCGGTCGACGAGCAGCGGCAGGCCCCTGTCTCCGATTTCCCGCACCAGCGCGTCCACGTGCAGCTGGAGCCGCCCTGCCGCCGACTCCAGCTCGTCCTTCTGCTCGTCCAGTCGCTGCGCCGGTCGACACGGGGGGGCGGTGGGGGGGGGGCAGGAGAGTGACTCTCGAGTTACGGAGCAGCCGCCCGAACTTCTCAGAGAATAGATTCTCTATGTACAGTATTCTATTCGCCTCCCTCCCTCCTAACGTCCACATTTCATTCCACGTTGCCTGTGCTGGATTAAATACGGTGTAGTATCTGCTTATGGGTGTGCGAGTGACGTGTCGACACACAAGACAAAGATTTCCACCCTTGAACCCTTCAACAGATGGTTGGGACAAGTGTGCCGTGACTGAGCATCGAATGAAGACCGGCACAGCACACGAGGGGGGTGGGTGGCTAGCATCACGCCCCCGGCCACCTTTGTCTACCCAATGCTGTTTACACATACTACACCAGGTACTCATTTGAGGCTGAGTCAATCTAGGGGAGGCCCAGGATGGGTTCAGATAATCGTCACCGGTGTTGGCAGTGAGCGGGAATCGAACTCGGGTCGCCGGATTCGTAGCGCAGCGCGCTAACCACTACGCCACCGCTCCCCACATATACACGTACACACACACATGCACACACGCGCACACACACGCACACACGCACGCGCACACACACACGTACACACACACACACGCGCACACACACGCACGCACACACACACACAGACGCACACACGCACGCACACACACGCACACACACGTACGTCCAGTCCGTCCACGACGGCGTCGGCCTGCCCGCGGGCCGCCTCCACCATGCTCTGTCCATCCTGCAGGGCCTTGACGGCCTCCTTGCGGCCGTCCTCCACCAGCTTCCTCTTGCCCTGGCGAGACCATCCAGCAACAGCGTCACCCGGCAGCGATGAAGACCGGGCCCGTGACGGTGGTGGCGATGGTGGTGACGGTGGTGGCGATGGTGACGGTGGTGGCGATGGTGATGGTGGTGATATTGTTGTTGGTGCTGACGCTGTGGAAGTTAATGGTAATGATGGTGATGCTGATAATACTACTACTACTACTGCTTGTGCGTATGATGACAACAATTACATAACGTCGTGATTTAATTTAGTTGTTTTCTTTTATTTTAAATTTTATTTTACCTACGTGACTTTACCGAAAAAACCAAAGAGTATAATTACATAACCACTAATGGGGATGACGATGCTCATGATGAGCTGTGACTAATGATGTAGATTTAACTTCTTTCGCACCGCACGGAGCCGACCGTGCTAATGATTACGATGCAATCCGCTGCTAATAATAGCGACGATTCTGCCGCTGCTTTTGTGACGACACTTCTGCAATCGCGATTATGACGACGACGATGACCCCCTCACGTCGAGCTGGCCGATCGTGCGGAGGTTCGCCTCCGAGAGCCGATCCGAGTCGCGGATCTTCCCCTGCGCCTGCGCCAGGAGGGACTCGGCGTCACGCAGGCGGTCGCCGTGCGCGCCGAGCGTCGCCTCCGCCTCGCTCGCTCGCTTCTGGTTCTCTCCGTGCGGCTCGGCGAACTCCTCCTGCACTCGCGCCAGCAGCTCCTCCGCCTCCCTGCACGCGGCGCCGCCCGGGGGAGGGGGGGACGGGCGCGACCTTTTGACCTCGCTTCGATATTAAATTCGTCTATCGACATCGTAACGGTGATTTGTGAAATTCACCACAATGATCGAATATGTACGCATATTCGATCATTGTCACGCCCGGGCTGGTGGTGGTGGTCGAGCCAAAGGAGGTGGTTGATGCAGGATAGAGGAGATGATGAGAGTGCTGGCCGTGGCGGTGGAGGCAGTGGGAATAATAATGGTGGCAAGTCTGGGCCACCCAAAGGTGGGGGCAAAGTGGGCAATTTGGCCTGGGGCCTCACAGAAAAGAGGGCCTCACTAAGGGCCTGCTTTCAGTGAATGGCGAATTCAGGGTGGGGCCTCCTCCAGCCCTCTCCGGGCGGCCCTGGATGGCAGCGGTGGTGTCGGTCGCGACGGTGGGGGCCGTCGGGTTGGGCGTGGGGGGCGGGGGTGGCGAGCCGCAGGCCTCACTTGAGCTCTCCACGCGCCGCGGCGAGCGGCTCCACCAGGCGGCGTGCGCGCATCTCCTGCAGCATGCGGCCAATGTCGGCCTTGATTTGCGGCAGGTTCCCCTCGGGGGAGCCGTCGTGCCCGCTGAGCACCGCGTTCAGCTGCCGCGCGTTCTCCACCAGCGCTGCGCCACACACGCACCCAACACGAGTGCCGCCCGTGAGTACGAGGCCGTGCGAACGAAGGCCACGGGGAAGGCCCCTGACGAGGCTCCCGCTCCTGAGAGCGGCTCGGGGGAAAGTTTACGCTCGCGTTTACGCTTCTAATAGCTCCATCGGTCTTACCTGATAAAATACAAAGTTTAGTTTATGGCGCTGTAAGAATTGTTATTAAGCAGAGAGGGGCAGCCAGCATTGCCCAAGCTCTGTGGACCTATATGTAGATGTTGGCCAACTCTATTAATGAGTGAATTATTCATATGGGAGAAAACCGGATTACCCGGAGAAAATCCATACGTGCGGGGGGGGGGGGGAGAGGGGGGGACAGACAATCCACGTACGGATGGAAATGAACAACCCCCTTGCTGCTGCCAAACGGACGACATGTGTAGATGTCTCCCTCACCCTCGGCGGCGGTGGCCGTTTTGCGGACGAAGGTGTCCACCTCCTGGGCGCGGGCGAGCGTGCGGTTCGTGTCCTTGTCCACCTGCTCCCCGTCCGCGTACACCTGCGTCGTCTGTGCGGGGAGGAGAGGGAATCAGGATTCACTATTGGTGCAAAATCAAGGGCTCTGACCAGTCATACAGATACGCCCGATCTCGTCACATCTCGAAAGCTAAGCAGGTTTGGAGAGAGCTTGGAAGGGCGACCACCACACACACGCGGGGTCTCATGGAGCGTGGCTCCGCTCGGTTTGGGCAGCAGAGGGCAGTGTCGCACAGTCCACTGCTCTGCACCGGTCTTAGGAGCGTCCACGCGGATGCTCCCCAGCATCGCCAAACCCACCCTGACTAGCGTGGTGAAGTACGGTGAAAATAAACCCCCATGACCTGCACGATACGGAGGGGCCCTGAACCAACAGTGGATTGAGAAACTCCTCTGGCAGGGAACAGGGCGATCCGGGAGCGGACGTCCGGGGCGTGACGGACAACCACACCCGGTGGTGGTGGCACCTGGAAAACCCTGCGGGAGGTGGCAATAGCACAAACCTCCGACTGTAACGCGCACGTTTTCACATTGCAATATTATGATTCAAAGATAATTTAACTCGTCAATTATTATCGCTAAAGTTCACCGGTAAGTTAAAGAACAACTCTCATAAACATAGCAATTTGGTGATCGAAGTGAGCTGTAGCGCTACTAATTGACGCATCAACTGCTTGCACGCACGACAAATTAATGTGTTTGGCTGTGTCGGATGGTGGAGGGTCTCACGACACAAACTTGGCCAAATCATTACGGAGTGGCCAAACCCATGATTTCGAACCACTCCCGGACTCCGCTTTCCTGAGCGACGGCTCAAGAGCTCAAAAGAGCGGCGAGGACGGCGGGATATCGAGGCAAAACGCCGTCACTGTGCCGAGGCCCGCACACTCGGGAGCAGCGCGAGGTGGCCGTGCGTGCCGTGCGGCGCTGCGACGCGATTGCAGCCGGTGGGCACGGGGGCCGGGCGAGGTGCACCCACCCGGTTGAGCAGCTGGTCCATCTCCGTGACGAGTCCGCCCAGATTTGTCTCGGCCACCGTGAGCAGCCGCGTGGGGTCTCTCTGCGGGGAGAGCTGGTGCTGCGGGGGACGAGACGGCGGCGGCGGCCGTGGCATCGTGAGCGAGACGGCCTCGCGCGCAGCGCGAGTACGGCACAACGTCGCGTGTCCGACTCGCTGGGGGGTGAAGGGCGCGGGCAGATACGCGATAGGGTCGTTCTCGCACGCACACGGACACGCACGGACCTTGAGCAGGTGTGTTGCATTCTCCATGGCGGTGAGGCGAGGGTACGGAGCCGGGATAGTCCCCGTCACGTTGACGGACATGAGCAGCTGCCCCATGGAGTCGAGGTCGCTGAGCAACACGCCGGTGCACTCGTCGTCGCACGCTGTGGGGGCAGCGCAACGCACGCACTGAGCAGGAGCACTTCGCGCTCATGCACTCGCGCTCACGATACACGCACGCAGCCCGTGGACCCTGAATGGCAACCGGGGTTTAAATTCATCCAGGTCTGTTCGGATCAGCGACCCACAAAATAGTTACCCACCCGGCATACCACATCAAGCAAACCACCTCTTGCAATGGCTGTGACTGCCAGTCACGTGAAACCTCCACCAAACGAGTTTCTATACTACAGTCTATATTGTATACGAAAGCTACAGTCTATACAGTCCATACTACGGCGTGTACAGTCTATGGTCATACAGTTTCTAGTCTAAAGTCCACAGTTTAATTTCAGCTGGGCCTGTGTGATCGGTGATCAAGAAAATACGTCCACAGCCAGCACACCACGTCCAGTATAGCTCATGTGGCTAGGGCAATGGCTATTCGTAAGTTGCCCCCTGCTGCAGCGATCCAGATCGATGCTGAGTGAGAAACAAAGTCCCTGAGGGCACTGCTGGCTCCAAGACCACACAAGCACACACGCCTCATGCATGGGATGCAGAAACACAGCTATTAGGGTTTTTCACACAAACAAAACAGTTATGTTGCATGTGTTTTCTTTTGCTTCCTCCAAGTTATGGTGTGAGTTACAAAAAGTTGTAATCGTCAAACCAATCTGTCATCACATGCACAATCGCTAGCAGTAGGCATGTCACGTTCATTTGAGATCTAGCCAAATGATATGCGTTTTTTTATTTTACATAAAACTGACGTGAAGTTGGTTTTATAATTGGCCAATCAAGTCTTTTGAATGCAAGTTATTTTTGGCCGTAAGTTGGGCCTTTGGAACACAGTCCAAATGAGTTCTGGGCTCTGTAACGTCGCGGTGTCCCTCAAGTACACGGCAAGGCAAGCGCACGGCACACGGCGGAGACACCGCACGGGGAAGGAGAAGACAGCGGAGGAGGTCCTGGAGGCCCTGGAGGCCCTGGAGGTCCTGGAGGCCCTGGAGGCCCTGGAAGCCCTGGTGGCCCTGGAAGCCCTGGGAGCCCTCTCTCTCTCTCTCTCTCTCTCCGTGGACGCTGCTCCTGTGGGCATCGCTCGCCCTCCTCACGACGAGATCCGCACGTCACCCGCGACGAGCGGAACCTAACGCGTTCATCGGCTGGGGCGAGCCCCTTGCCGCGGAGGAGTTGACGCTTCCCTGCCGGTGCCGACCCCTGGCCAGGCGGCTCCGTGGTAGAGAAAGCGGACCGCTAGCGGAAGGTTGTCAGTTCGCATCCTGGTTGGGGTTTCATTCGGCCCATATTCTATCCGGGGCCGATAAAGTGCGGACCGCTTTGTGAGGAAGTCAACAGTGGTTGTGATATGGATATGATACTGGACCTCTGTGACAAAGAGCTTTATAGCTCATCGCATTTCTCCGTTATAAATAAATATTCAGATTCTCAGAGGAGTGTGAATTTCCCACCACTGACTCAAGGCTGTGCACAGGAGATGCACACCGATGCCTAAATTCTGGTTTCAGTAGGAAGCCACTTTTAACTTTTTTTACTCACGCTTCAGCCAATGCAGTCAGCTTGCATTCTCGCAGCCACTCATAACAAGCGGCTTGCGCACGGCGCGATCCAGGCTCAAACCTGCTTGACCCCCGAGGTCTGACGAGATTGGGGGCATTGAGGCCACTCAGGAGACCCTTGCAGACATGCATCGAGGCTGTCTCGTCTTGGACTGTCTGCCCAACACCAACATGAAGGTTCATAAATACAGTAACATTGACAAACGTTGGAGCGTGCCCAGAACTGTGTGTCAATTCTACATGGCTGCTGGACCTTGTGGGCACGAGTTCGCGTCGCGAACAGCTTTACTCGGAGCCACAGGCGACTTGGGCCGAAAAACTCGTATCTCCCGTGGCACTGGGAACGGCCTGCTCGCGAGCCCGGCTTCACAACGGCGGCGTGGACACGGCGATTGGAGCGGCCGGGGAGTGTGGAAGGTGGGCGGGAGGGGGGGGCGGTTAGTACGTACACAAGCAGCGGGAGGCCACGAGCACGTGGCGCGGCATGCACGAGTCACACAGGCGCCCCATCACGCCGGGCCGGCACGAGCACTGGCCCGTGCGGGGGTTGCACGGGTGGTGCGTGCTGCCTGCCACGTGGCACCCACACGGCTGGCAGGATCCGCCCGGAGACGTCGGGTCCCCGTAGAAGCCGGCGGCACACCTGCGCGGGGAGGGACGAGGTGAGCGAGGAGGACGGGGGAGGAGGAACATGTAAACGTGGCAAAGTGTGGCAAGTCGCCGTGTGGAAGGGAGGCCGACTGCCAGAGATGTCGGCGGCTGCCGTGATGTAACGCTTAACTGTTTAAGCAGTGGACAGACAGGGAGGCTGCCGTACTGTGACGGTTAGCACACCGGTTCGCTTCCATCTCGCGGCAGGAAAGTTGAAGCTTTCGTGCAAGTCCCTTCAGTCTTCCCGCTTCTGGCCATGCGCCAGTTTAAACGTGCGCACCGTGGCATCGTCACGTGACACCGACGAAGAGGAAGAATTGTCACGCACGTGGCAAATGCACCTCGGTGGAGTTGCTCTGCACAACTTAAAGGAGCCTCTAGCAGCGGAACGGCTCTGGAAAGGGAAGGCAGCACACTACTGTTGCTGCTGCGACTGCTACTTGCTGTTACTGTTGCTACTGCTGCTTTTCGAGACACTCACTTCTCGCAGCGCGGGCCCTCGTACCCCTCGGCGCACGCGTCACAGAAGTAGTCGCTCTGTCCCACGGTGACGCACGTGGGGCTGAAGCTGTCGACACGCAGGAGGACAGGGCACGTCAGCCGCAGGCGACTTCACCAGCGCCACCACGCACGCCTCCACGCGCACACCGCACACGCCAGCAGCGTCGCGGGGTTGGTATGGGCCCCGCTGCAGGGAATGAGACGGGGCCACCCCCTGTCCTATTTCCACCACCCCCCCTGACACATGCTTACTCGATCCCTCCTTTAGCCGCCACTTCGTCGCTAGTCTCCGCCACCGGCCATCGTCCTGGCGACGAGGTGCCCTGCCTAGGCCCACGCACCGTCACTCGTGACCAAGGAGGCCTCTGACCGGCGGGTGTTCTCTACCCCGCGTGATCCTCTCGCTGCCTCTCAGTCTAACTCCGAGTGTGGGTCTCTCTCCACACTTATCTGCGTGTGAATTTACATGGTCTGGTCCACATACCATAGTAAGTAATATATATACATTTTATTTAGCTAAATTTGACATGCTGCTTTTCATTATGAATTTCACTGTTTCGGAAAGTTCAGTTCATAAATGTAAATCTTTGTTTCAAGCAGACTTCAGGGAGAATTGTGCTGTGGTTAGCACACGAAACTGCCAAGTAGAAGGGCGTGCGTTCGAATCTCAGCTGGGAGTCAACTGAGCTCATCATCCCTCTGAGGTCAATAAAACAAGAAGACCTCGGCATGGAAAAGTAAAAGGTAAAAACAACGAGCCTACCTTTACCCTACCTTTTACCTTACCACAATACAATCACTCGACCCTTACCTTTGACCCTTTAGCAAGCTAAGGTAAACGGTAAAAGGTCAAAAGCAACGGGCCTACCTTTACCCTACCTTTTACCCTTACCCCATACAAATTACCCAATTGCAGGATAATTACTGGGGTACTACACATGAAAAAGGTTTATAACAGGTAAATGCTAGGTAGAGCGCTTTATTCATATAGAATACTCTCAATGATTAGAATTATAAATGGAGGCCACGGACTGCGCCACGGAGCTTTTAGCGATAAACAAGGCACCGTATTTACCGGGTAATACTTCATGCTACCTTTACCCTACCGGGTAATTCTTCCGAGCTACCTTTACCCTACCGGGTAATTCTTCCGAGCTACCTTTACCCTACCCTTTGCCTTACCCCTTGGCATGTCGACACCTTTACCCTTTTACCCAGTAAAAAGGGTAAATTACCTTACCTTGCCGAGGCCTAAAAACAAGGAAGCCAAATAAGCGATTGTCGACGGAGACGGCATCTAAAACCCCAAGGGCACACGTGTGCCGCTCTCTGTCTCTGGTGTGATCTGGGAGACACTGCGTGTCAAAGCTCGGGGCTAGGGGTGGGTTTCGTGGGTGGGTCCGCTGCCAGACCGCTCTCTGTTTCGAAGGAGGAAGGGGCAGCGTCATTGCCAGATGTGTTCAGTTTTTATTAATTGTGCTCGTGCACCACTGCCAACCTCCGAATCTCTAAATCACTTTTGGGGCCATGTGGCCGGGTCGGGTGTTAGCGAGCAGTGACGGCGGTGCCAGCAGCGGTTACTTGTTGCCCGGATCCTGGGAGGGGCAGGCGCAGCGGCGGCAATCTCCCGGCGAGCCGCGCACCACGCCGTAAAACCCCGGCTGGCAGAGCTCGCAGTGCGCGCCCGCCGTGTTGTGCTGGCAGTTCTGCGGGAAGAGTGCGGGAGGGACCGGCGTCTCAGGTGGCCGTGGTTTCACTTTTCACGCTAAGACACGATATCAACGCTCACGATTTAATGGGATATAATTTTCGTTACGATACGATATCAATTTTCACGAAACTATATAAAATATTTTTTTTTATTTAAAGCTTTCGTGACTGCAGGGATTCATATTCTTGGTTCTTTCGGTTAAGTCACGTAGAAGGGAAACAATAAAATAATAAAAATGTAAAACAATAAAATTCTCACGACGTTTCGACTGCAACACAAGCAATCATCTTTAGGTGTGAAAACCACAGCAATAATTTTTTCTTGCTGTGGAATATATTAAATCAGTTTGGAATAAGGTGACAAACGCTAACGATGCCGATGGCGCTGGCTCGGTCCGTCAGCAGCAGCGTAAATTCTAGATAATAAGAATAATTATCCTGCAGTTAAACTCCTCTTGATCGTGATGAACCGGGAGGTGAACTTCACAGATCCCACCTGTGAGCTACCCAGTCCCCACCAGAGAGTAGTCCCTTGTGGGGCACCTCCAGCCTCCACAGTGCGCTAGCACCGCCGTTATAGCAGGGCCACGGGGGGAGGGAGCGTGAGGGGAGGGCGGGGGGGAGGGAGGGTGAGGGGAGGGAGCTGTCGGGGTGCTGGGGCTGGCGGGGTATAATTCTTGCTCACGACGTGCTCTTTACAGGTCCACTCGAGTTCCTTTTCAAAACACAAATCTTTCAAACGGCGGAAGGGCTCTATGTCGATGGTAATCCCTGAGATCCTGTACCATTCCCTACAGGAACAAATGCTGCGCCGGTATCCCTCGTAGAAACAATTATTGGCTGCCACGAGTTTCTGCCGCGGGCAGCGGGACACGTAACCCGGCTGCGTGGCGCAGCGGTAGAGCGAGCGACTCGCAGACGGAATATTCATCCCACTCCAGTGGGTAGAATTGGAACTTCTCTGCGGGCGCCGTTAACAGCGGTCTTGCCATGGAAGTAGTCACACTCTGTCATTTACAGCTCGTTGTTTTATCCACTGCTGGATGTTGACCTCCCATGCTGGCTCAATCACAGGGATTGTTTGACCATACTTCACCACGTTTGGTCAGCGCGAGTATTTGAACGGAGGGCCCGGCACCGGTTCAAATATCGCTCGGAACTGCCGTTAGCCATGGCCTGGGATTGAACCGAGCCCTCTGGGTTCATAGCGCGGTGCGCTAATAATTGGTCCGCCGGCTCACCCGTATCCACAATAGTAACGTGGAGTTTCCGTAACTGGCTCAAGAGTTGCATATCACGTTCACGTCACTCCCATTTTAATGAACCCCACGTCGGGGAGAGGGGACGAGGGGCTGCGTGACGGTGGCCGTGCGGTGCCGACCAGACATTTCCCCGTGTCGGCGTCGCAGCTGCCGGAGTGGCCGTGGCACTGGCACGCGACGCAGGGCGGCACGACGTGGTGCGGACGGGCGCCCCGCACCGTCAGCTCCATCCCGCTCTGCCGGAAGTACCCTTCCGAGCACTCCTACGGGGGCGGCGCGGGGGGAGCGCGGCAGGGTGAGGAGACGGAGGGGAGCGGGAGCAGTCAGCGGGCACCGACGGTGGGGGGAGGGCGGCGAGCGGTGCAGCAGGAAGAGAGGAGGCAATAACAATAATTATTACATTTTATGAGGCATCGTTCATGCCAGCAGCATCCCGAGGTGACCGAGAGTGGCTCTTCTGAGGAGACGGGGGCGTAGGTGGGGGGGGGGCTCCGAGGGGTCGTTCGAGGGAATCGCTGGCATGGAGTCCGCGAGAGTTTTTAATGTTTCGTCATTTTTTTTCTCCGCATAAACAGTCTGGCTGCTGAGCAGGGGTCACGTCGGGTGAAGTAAACTAAAGTGAGCACTCTCCCCGTGTGCTGTCCGCGCGACCTGTGCGTGCGATATCCCGCAGCTGTCCCGCAGATGGTGGATGTTGGAAATGGAAAGAACGCACTTTTGTTAATTTCGCGCGAATCACGCAGGCGTGCTCATCACGCTGCACGTGCACATGGCAGTGATGCGTGTAGTGTGGTTGAGATTAAAGTCAAAGATGCATGCGCATAAACTACACACGCCAATAGCTACAAGAGACAGAGATCCCACGTGCAGTTCACTTATTCTGTTGCAGCAACTATTAGCAAGCACCTACTAAGGACTGCATGGTGCATAAAGGGGTGGTGTTGCCAGGACCACGGCCGGCCGCCTTTGTCTCTCTAATGGGCGACACATACACACACACATACACACTGTCCTACGTGAGCGTGCCGCACGTCTCTGGTACCTGGCAGGACAGCCCTGAGTAGCCCGTGGGACAGACGCATCTCTCGATCTGCCGGGCTCGCTCGCTCAGCGAATTCCCGTTCTCCGCCACTCCGACCTCCAGAGCAATGCCCGAGATCCTGCAGAATCACCGCGGCGGACAAAATCCCCGTGAGAGAACGCACATCCGGACACCTGGAGCGGCGGCAGGGCGGCGGGGGTTCGAGGGCAGCACTGGAGCGTGACGGACGGCGCCAGATTCTGTTTCGTTGTTAGCTCACTGATCCAGGAGAGCCACACACCGAGTCGTCGCGGGACTTTCAGTCGGCGGATGTTCATTACAGACGTGGGAGGAAAGTGGATAACCCAAGGAAAAACGCCCGCACGCAAGGAGGCAACGCTCTATCCCCGTAAAGATGGGGGACATGAAGATTAGTCCGCTTGCTGTACTGCGCGTGCACATTGGGGGCTTTCACTCCGGCCGGCGTCACTCACCGGGACTGCCTCATCTGGCGGCCGTGCGAGGCTCTGATGAGGATGTAGTCGATGTCGTTGATGACGGAGAGGAAGTCGGAGCGGCTCACCGCGTGTTCGGAGCCGCCGCTGAAATACTTCCAATTGTACTGTAGGGTTCAGAGGCACGGGGGGAGCAGGGGGATCAGGGGGAGGACACTGCAGCAAGGAGCTCACGATGCCAGGTAACAAGCCACCCTGGCACGGTCTCGACGCCCGTGAGCTCGCCGACCGCGCGGTACTTGTATTTTCGTTCCAAAACACAACCCAGGCCCAAGATTGCGCGTGGAACGCGTGGATTGTGCAACGGTTATCAGACGTCCGCTTTGCTTTCGGGAAGTGTGCAGAGGTTAGCGGTAAGGAAGCCGATGGGGTAGCTGCCAGGACAAAATGCGTTATCATACTCGCAAAGTTTTGGGCAACCCTTTGCTGAACGTGGCCGCCTATCAATGGGACACGTCCCGAACAGCAGCACAACTTCACGGTCAAGCTGTGTCGTATCGAAGGGGACAGACGAGGCAGAACGCGGCCAGTGCATCAGCACTTGCAACCAGAGCGGGAAAGGATTCGAAAGACAGAGTGGAGACCCCCTCCCCATCCCCATCACCGGCCCCACGAGGCTCTCCCCCTCCCCACCTCGACGAGTGCGACGGCGTGCTCGGCGGGCCGCGCGGCCGGCGGGCCGCGCTCCTGGTACGCGATGACGACGTGGTTGCGAGCGCCCCTGATGATGACGAGCGGCTCGTGCGACGACGGGCCCACCTCCTCGCGCGCCTCGAACGAGAAGCTGTAGCGCAGCGTGCCCCCGTAGGCTGAGAGCTGCACGCACACGCGGCGACGGCGGCACCGACGTCAGCGGCGCCGGCCGGGCACACGGACCGGCGAACTCGGCCTCATCGCACGGCCAGATCGACACGCCGTCGCGGTCAAAGCAGTTGATGCCACGAGCAAAAAGGCAAAGAGCCCCCGCATAGCCTTAACAGACTGTTGGGGAAAGTGCTGTTAGCGAGCCCTCACAGTGTGTGACACTGCACAGTCGTGAATCACTGTGAACACATTGTGAGTTTATGCATCACAATATTGATTTATACTGGAGGAATATGATAAGCTATGAAGCCATTTTTCACACATGTCCAGAGCATGGATCTCTATGCTAGTCTGTAGGTCTCTATGTGCGTCTATGAGTCCCTATGTGAGATCGCACAGCAGTGAAATTCAACAAACGCATTGGAGCAATCCACCACCTCGCATCAACTGAAGCCATTTCCTGTATAACTACTAATTTGGACAGAGCGTTAGTAAGATTTCTATTCACACGGAAAGAGGAAGGGGAGGAAGGGAAAGAATCAGACAAAGGAGGAAGTGACCTTGTGACCCAGGAACTGCTTGGGCAGCCTCCAGTAGAACGGCTCTCCGGGCAGCTCCAGCAGAGCCTCGTCGGCGCTCACGACGACGTCCGGGCGCTGGTAGCGCACGCCGCGCGTCGTCTCGCGCAGCGCCGCCTGGTCCACCACCGGCAGCACCACCTGCTCGTGGCCAAGCGTCACCTGCACGCGGCGAGACCACACCGGTAACGCACTCATCCACGCTTCTACTCCACGTGCACCCCCTTGGTTACTCCACGTGCACCCCCTTGGTTACTCCACGTGGACCCCCTTGGCTACTAGACATGGGGCCCTATTGGCTACTAGACATGGAGCCCCTTGGCTACTCCACATGGACCCTCGTGGCGTTATGGTCCAAATTTGTCAAATGTCATATACTACTCGGAAATTACTTCATTGAGAAAATTCACATCGCGACACGGTCCCCTACTGGTGGACCAATGCTACTCGCAGATCATCGGCACACGGGGAAAGCTGCTACCTGGGGTCCCCAAGGCTAAACTGCCGCTGGACCCATGAGATGTACTGATGGGAAGCGTGTGGCATAAATAATTCGTGACGACGACGATGATGACATTTCGTTTGATGGGCCACTCTCCTTTTGGCGCGTGAACGCGGTCAGGCGAACAAAGTGAAGTTGCGTAAAGCGGTGGTGTGTGGCGGTGCTCGCGGTAGCGGTGCTGTCGCACCTCCTGCCGCACGAGCCCCAGCGCCTCGGAGCACTCGGAGGAGACCCCGAAGCAGAAGCACTGGCTGCAGCCCTGCGGGTTCCCGGCGTGGAGGCCGAACATCCCCGGGCCACACGCGTCGCACTTCAGCCCGTGGGCGTTGGGCTGCGTGTGGCGGCGAGGGAGGGGGAGGGGAGAGAGGGGCGGTCGACACGCGGGCGGCGAGTGGCGTCGACGTCGATCGGGCACCGATTCAACTGCTGCATTGCTCGCCGGTGGTCAGTCGCCTCCTGATCACTCGTCTGCAGATACTGCCGTGGTCAATGTTCCCGTGAACTTCACTCACTCGCCCGCTACTTTCGCTCACTGAAGGTCAGTCAACTCCTTATAACTCTTATATCACGACGACGATAATTACTGTCCCTATGAATCTCCCTCATTAATTCAGCCACTCATCCACTCATCTCTCTTCTCTCTCTCTGCACCGTCCCTTGCATTCATCCACTTTGGGATTCCCACCTATTGTCGATTTTCCCCGATGTCTCACAATAACCCTGCCCTGTTGACCATTTTCTACAACTCTGCTGCCTGTTGGGCCTGCATTTAGGCACCGAGGTTTAAGCCCAAGACGAATTGAGCAGCGCGCGGAGCCGCGTCACGATGTGTCTGTGTGTAGTCTGCGTACACAAGCGGAGTCTCAGCGGCACACTGGGGGTGCGTTTGGTTTATCTTGAGAAGACGTGGCTGTTCGTTCGCAGACTCAATAACTTTGCCCGGGAAGTTTACACTTGTTGTCTTTGTGTTTGGTTTGACGCGTTTCCACATCGCCATACGCGCTGTCTCGCTGTAAACCTGGAAGGCCGGCCAGCCATATGTGACTTTACCGAAAGAACCAAGAATATATATATACATCTCCTAATACGACAGAGAGCAGCTCTCTGCGGCTCCACCACTGTCAGCATCGTCGACCGGTGAATGTACCGCATCGCATCATCCCCCTGGGAGCACTCAAATTTGAGTGCTGCTTTCTGGGATATGGACAGTGGTCGTCCCATAGACAGATTCTACGTGAGATGAGAATGTCATTTTTTTTCCACCGTAGCATTAGATCCTCCAGTGGCAAAGGAGTGCCACCACACGCTCGACTGAGCATGGACTTCTCGACTGAGTAGTGGTGGCAGATGGAACTGTCGTGAACTACAATAATGTTGCTGCTGACAATTAGAAATTATTTGGGGCACATGTCTGTAACTGAGTGAGTAATTGTGCGATGATGAAGCTCAAAGTGGTCTGCCCGAGTGAACTTGTGTTACAGGGGATTTATTATTTTAAGCTGATTTACGTTTGTGCAGTGTGTTCGCGACACGGCTGAATTCCTTCCGATTTCAAATTGTGCTTCATTGCTGTACTCTGATTTATTTGTTTTTCATTGGTTATTTCGGCAACCCACGTCTCTCTCGCGAACGAGACTCTCTGAAACGCTCACCCTGTCCCCACTAAACAAACCTGAACACAACTCGACGTCGGGGGAGTGGCGGGCACAGCGGCGTGCACGCCGTACACCGTCCCGGCGCCGACCGGCACGTGGGCGGATTACCGGGCGCACGTGACCCACGGGGGCGGCGCACGGCGGTCGGAATCGGGGTCGAGGGGTCAGCGCTGGCGGCCACCGACCGCGTGACCTCCTCACCTTGCACGGGCACTGCCCCGCCGGCTCCGAGCACGAGCAGGACCCCGAGACGGCGTCGCAGGCGTCCGCCCGCGTGCCCGCCGGGTCGCAGCGGCACTGCGCGCAGCGTGGGTATCCGTAGAATCCGTGGCGGCACTCGCCGCACTTCTCCCCCGAGTACTCGGGCCGGCAGTCGCAGCGGCCGCTCCGCTGGTCGCACTGCGGGCTCAACGTACCCACGGGGCTGCACTCGCAGTGCTGCGGGGCACAGGGGCACAACTTCAGGCGGGCCCACGCACGGACGACCCGTTCCTCCATATTGTGGCATTGAGAACAGCAGCATTGATTATTGGCACCGTCGTCTCTTTGTCAGTCGCCGTAACATTCAGTTGTTTTAACTTCATCCCCAAGCTCAAAGTTTACATCATTTTATTTGGTTCACGTGATTTACATGGTAATGTGTATTTGGCTCTTGACTGTAGCAGAAATGGTTCATAATAATTACCAGCGAAACGTCGTACTCACATTATAAATGTTGTGGATTTACTCTCCAACACACTGCCAATTGGCTGTGTCGGGTGGTGGAGGGTTTTGACACATTTATACTTTTGCGATCTAACCCAAAACACCTTGATTATGAATAATACTGCTCGCGAAAGCCTGCTACGTGTCGAACTGGCATAGTGGTTATCGCACTGTGCTACAAACCCGGCATTTACCGCTCATGGCCAACACCAATGTCTGGGCCTTCCCTATATCGACTCGCCGAGTACCTGGTCCCGGTGTGTAAACATCGACTCCCCGAGTACCTGGTTCCAGTGTGTAAACATCGACTCTCCTAGTACCTGGTACCGGTGTGTAAACATCGACTCTCCTAGTACCTGGTTCCAGTGTGTAAACATTGACTCCCCTAGTACCTGGTTCCAGTGTGTAAACATCGACTCCCCTAGTACCTGGTACCGGTGTGTAAACATCGACTCCCCTAGTACCTGGTACCGGTGTGTAAACATCGACTCCCCTAGTACCTGGTTCCAGTGTGTAAACATCGACTCCCCTAGTACCTGGTTCCAGTGTGTAAACATCGACTCCCCTAGTACCTGGTCCCGGTGTGTAAACATCGACTCTCCTAGTACCTGGTTCCAGTGTGTAAACATCGACTCCCCTAGTACCTGGTACCGGTGTGTAAACATCGACTCACCTAGTACCTGGTCCCGGTGTGTAAACATCGACTCTCCTAGTACTTGGTCCCGGTGTGTAAACATCGACTCCCCTAGTACCTGGTACCGGTGTGTAAACATCGACTACCCGAGTACCTGATCCCGGTGTGTAAACATCGACTCCCCTAGTACCTGGTACCGGTGTGTAAACATCGACTCCCCTAGTACCTGGTTCCAGTGTGTAAACATCGACTCCCCTAGTACCTGGTACCGGTGTGTAAACATCGACTCCCCTAGTACCTGGTACCGGTGTGTAAACATCGACTCCCCTAATACCTGGTACCAGTGTGTAAACATCGACTCCCCTAGTACCTGGTACCGGTGTGTAAACATCGACTCCCCTAGTACCTGGTTCCAGTGTGTAAACATCGACTCCCCTAGTACCTGGTTCCAGTGTGTAAACATCGACTCCCCTAGGACCTGGTTCCAGTGTGTAAACATCGACTCCCCTAGTACCTGGTTCCAGTGTGTAAACATCGACTCCCCTAGTACCTTGTTCCAGTGTGTAAACATCGACTCCCCTAGTACTTGATCCCGGTGTGTAAACATCGCCACTGAGGAGACAAAGGCGGTTGGGCGTGTTGCTGGCCACAAACCCCTTTGTGCACCATGCCGGGATTCATTGATGCCACTCGCTCACGGCACTTGCCCCCCGAGTCTGTTCAAGGCTACACGGGGGACGTTTGGTCTTTGAGGAACCCGGTGACCAAGGTACCGACCGCTGTCCCCGCGTGCGGGCACTCACCTGGCAGCCGTGCGCCGGGTCGTGACCCCAGCAGTTGGGGGAGCAGCGGTCACAGCGTGCCCCCTCCGTGTTCGGGGGGCAGATGCATCGCCCGGACACGGCGTCGCAGTTGCTGCCCGTGTGATCGCACTCGCACCCTGCGTCACGCGCAGAGACATTCAACTTAGTTCGACTCCGCCTCACGTTTATTTAGCTCTACGGTTCGTTCGTCGCATGTGACAACGAGATCTGAAGTAACCCAGGCTGAAATTACAAATGGGGCCTTTGGCATCATCAGGACATGGGTGGTGGTCAAACCGTAAAGGAAATGCACTAAATAGAGAGAGAGAGGGGGGGGGGCATAAAACCGCAGCAGCCTGCGGCCCCCCTCAGAGTAGATGGGGAGCGGGAGTATAGAAGTTAGCGCTACGCTGCGCTACCAACCCGGCGACCCGAGTTCGATTCCCCCTCGCGGCCAACACCAGTGACGATTATTTGAATCGGTCCTGGGCCTCCCCTAGGTCGACTCAGCCTCAAATGAGTACCTGGTGCGGTGTGTAGCAAACATCACCATTGGGGAGGCAAATGCGGCCGGGCGTGGTGCTGGCCACCCACCCCCTCGTGTACCGTTGTGGCCTTCACAGGTGCTGCTCGCTAACAGCACTTGCCCCTACAGTCTGTTACGGCTACACGGGGAGGGAGGTGGGGGGGTGCGAAATCGTTGTCTTTGTGTGTCCCTAGTAAACTCACGGGTGCAGCCGCCCTCCTTGAAGTCGTAATGTCCCGGCGCACAGCGGTCGCACTGCCGCCCCACCACGCCGGGCTGGCAGTGGCACTGGCCGCTCTCGTCGCAGTCGAACGAGAACGCGCCAAACGAGTTGCAGTTGCAGGGCGCGCACCCCGTGGGCTGCTGGCTCATCCCGTAGTGGCGCGCCTGGAGGGGGACGGAACGCACGGGCGGGACAGACGGGACGCGGGTCCCGTTCGCCGTCACCCAAGCAGCGAGACCCGGTGCTTGCTGCGGTAACGCGGCACTCGGGAGGGACTCTCAGGGCGCTTGGCGGGGAAGCTACGGCCCGTGGCTTCACGTCACGCGGCTCACGGCCACAGGAGGACGACCTCTTACACACGGAGGCCACAGGCGATTGGTACCCGTGCATCTTACTTGGGAAGGTAGGTAAAGGGGCAGTCCTGCAATTGCTGTGCTCGCGCCACTGCCGGCGGAAGGGCCTCCACTGGAGGGAGCTCCAGAGGAAATGCTCTCTCGAGGGTGTTTTTGCCTACTCTTCCATCCTGGCCAGATGTCTTCCAAGGGGTGGAAGTACCCACACTTTACCTCACCATCGCTTGACCTGCCGCTTCGTCTGTGGCCGTGCCCATGAATACCGCTGGGGCGGACAGAGACGGTCGGGGGACTTAAGGAATATGCGCCGACATCGCGCACGGAGAGCGAATCGATCCGGCCACCTCTGGATTGCACGGCGGCTTCTCGCTGTCGCACCACCGTGGCACGCCGCTTCGCGGCGTAGGAGCGAGAACGCCTGCTGGCACCCGCATGGATCGCCTGCGCATTACGGGAGGCCGCAAGAGTGAGGATTGCAGCAGCTGCCTATTGGTGCTGCACAGCCCACGGGGCGGGAGCGAGCGCAGTGTGGACAATCAGAAACCGCAGCCCGTCGCCAGCGAGCATAGGAACTAGCGAGCGAAGGAGCGAGCGTGTGAAGGAGCGCGAGAAGGAGCGAGCGTGTGAAGGAGCGAGCGAAGGAGCGAGCGTGTGAAGGAGCGAGCGAAGGAGCGAGCGTGTGAAGGAGCGAGCGAGCGAGAGCGTTGGGAGGGGGCGCCGCCCGTTAAAGTACCCCGCCGGAGTGCGGAAGGCCGGCCCTGCGGTAGGAGCCGCGGGGGCAGCCCCCGGCGAGGCTGCTCTGCTGCTGCTGCAGCAGCTGCTTGTTAAACTCGCAGCGCTTCCCCGAGAACTCCGGCCTGCAGGCGCAACGGCCGTGCTTGTCGCAGGCGGACGACACGGCGCCCTCCAGGCTGCAGCGGCACGGCTGGCACTTGCGCTGCTGAGCGTCCCACCAGCAGTTGGGCTTCGCCGGCGCCGCGTCGAGGAGGCAGAGAAAGGACGGACGGACGGATGGACGGAGGGAAAGAGACAGACAAGGGAGGAAAACAGAAGGAGCGGAGAGACGAGGGCAGGCAGTGTGAGCGAAGACGCAGCGGTGAAGTCGCAGCGTGAGAAATGCTGATGGCGAAGGTTGAAATTCAGCAGCGACTAGGTTTGGGAGGTTTTCAGCAGAGGAGAGGGAGCCAGCGAGGGATGAAAGTAGAACAGCAGTTATGGGGATTTATTTTTCTTCAAAGATTGTTCACAAAGTAGTCCAACCCATATGGACACGTTCCTAGGTTTGCGAGATTTATGTGAATAATTAAAAGTAATAGGCAATTGCCAATTCGCTCACGAACGCATCCCCATGCCATGCTGGTTTCGGGGTTCTTTAACCTTACCGAGCCACAGTGAAACATTGGTAAAAAGGGCACCCAGAACCAGCCCATAGATCCCACGCCGCTGACGTTAGCCGTGGCCGGGATTCGAACTCGGGTTTCCGGGTTTATTGAGGTAGGCGACCAGGAAAAATATTTCCGCACCCGGCAGGACCACATCCATCATTCTTCTCACTCTGTCACGTGACTGCTAGAGGCCACGTGACACAGACTCCACCGGCGGCCCCGCAAGACGGCGGTGTGAGACGTGCAGGGCCGGTTCTCACCACGCAGTGGTCGCACTGCCTCCCGGCCACGTTGGGCTTGCACTCGCACTGGCCCGTCACGGCATCGCACGTGTTCGACTGCGAGCCGTTGGAGCTGCACTTGCAAGCTGAGAGCGGGGTGCACACACACGCGCGCACACACGCGTACACACACACGCGCAGAGGAAACGCGCAAAGATTTCATCCGGTCAACATCGCTGCAAAAAAAGCCTACGACAGCCCTGGCGAATATAAGCGGCGGGCTGTCGCTCTCGGAATGCTTTAACCGCGTACCGATTCCACAAAGCTGAAAGCTGCACCACGACATCTTTATCCCATGAAGGGGTGCCAAGTGCCCTCCGAGTCGGCATCCCCCGACGCCGCCGCCGCTGAACCCACGGGGTTGGCGAGCGAGACCCCGTGGCTCGCAAGCGGCCGCTGGGATGCGGTCCGCCCGTGCCCTCGTGCCGCCTCTAGGAGGACGACGACCGAACGCCTTCTCGTGGAAACATGACGCACGCTATATATATACATCGCTGGAGCAATCCATGCGGATATTTTAATTGCCCATACTTATAATATTAAGACAGACCGTGGCGAGACTATAAACACAAGCACACGCCGCTGCAATCATGGTTTCCCCAGGGCCCAATAACGCTCGCGATAGTTCTGGAAACATTTTAGCGGCAGGCTGTTATCAAACACTCGGGGAATTCACAAGAGTTGTGGCAATTTTCTCGTCTTCCGTTGTTTACACAGATAGTGGAATCTCAGAGCCTGTGTTGCTTCTAAAGAGTATGTTTTGAAGCTCAGTGAACTGACGGCTTCTCATCCCACCCACTGAACACAGCCCTGCCCTTTTTATCACGCAACACAGCGACAGGAGACGTGGGGACACTCAGTGAGACACAGCCGCACTGCTTTTTGTGTTTAGTTTGTTGTCCTTCCCCAGCACCTCTGATTAGCACGGTTGGCTACGTACGGTGCAAAATAAGTTAAACGTACATACATACAACATACGAGACGGAGAAACTAAAATAATGGGGACACGGAGACGTGGGGACACTCAGTGAGACACTTGGACACCATCTCTATACCAGTCCATTCTCACGTAGTGCTTGTCCTGTGGACAGCCCTGGCCTTCGCAAAGACATGCGGGAATTCCACCACGAGCTGGGGGCCACGGAGATCGCTACGGCCCCACTGCCTACCCGAGCGGCATCAACGCGGCCCATCACTCGACTCCGCAGCCGACGGTGTCACGACGGCGACTCGGCGAGCGATGCAAAACTCTGGAGATGTTCCGTCAGTGGCGGAGGAGGCGGCGGTGATGACGGCAGGGTCTCTGCACTCACGCTGGCAGTTCTTGGCGACGATGGCGTCCCCGAAGTAGCCGGTGGTGCAGCGCTCGCAGTGCCACCCGGACGTCTGCCCCACGCAGCGCAGGCACTCGCCCGTAACCGCGTCGCACGCACCCGGCGTGGACAGGTCGACGTTGCCATTGCACTGGCACGGCTGGCAGCTGCCGCCGGGCACGCCCGGGCTCCCGTAGTAGCCGTCGGCGCACCTGCGACGGAGCAGCCGCGCGACCGTGAGCGCCGCCGCGTCGGAGACTCGCGAAAATACCTTCCGATGGAGCCAAACCGGTGGTAGGCATTTACGGTTTATAACAAAAAATGTTTTGTTTTGCAGCAGTTTTCGTCGCCGGGCAACGGGGAGGGTTCGCAGAACGTGTGGAAGCAGAGCGTGTGGAAGCAGCGCGTCTCGCGACTACGCACAACGCGGGGGAACGAGCCGCCGTCAGGGGGGATTCGATGAGGTGCTCCTATACAAATCCCAAAACACTTTTTGTTGAAGACAGGAGAGAGTCAGTCATAGCCATAGGCAATGGCACTCACACAGCTACACAACATATCATTGTGGGCAGGTTATTAAATTGGTCACTTTCCAATTTACATTCACAAATAATCTCAAACCGTCACACGCAGTCACATCGAAACATTTCCTCAGGGTCAACTGCTCTACTGTTCACCCCACCTTGCCCTCCCCCGCGGGGTCACCTGCATGGACAATCGCAACATTGAGCGTAAAACCACGGGGGCATCACACACCACCCAGCCCTGGTGGTGGTAGTGGTGTTGTTGCTATGAACTCGAACCAATGTACCGCGATTTATCAGTGCTGCGAGCGATCTGTAACAGACGCCCTCGTCAGAATGAGCGATGTATCCCAGCGTCAGCTGTCCGCGTCCGTGAGCCTTCAAGGGCCTCCTTTCAAAGGCAGGCTGAGTGGACGGGCGTCAGGTGGCGCCTGACCTTCGACCTCCCTAAAATACATCGCCGGCCGTGCTCGTAAACTTTCGAGGCAACCGGGACGGGGTTAAATCTGGCAGACGGGCTCCGTGTGCCGCAGGTCATTCTCTGAAGGAGGCTCGTTGTCTCCGTGTTGACGCAGCACAGACCCGCGCGTCGTGGACTCCGCCTCTCGCTGCTAACAGGGTCCCACACCGCAACACAAGGAACGCCTTTTCAGCTGCGGTTGCTACCAGAGGCCGCGTGGTGGTGGTGGCTCAGAGGGCAGAGCGCTGTGCCGGCACTGCTGAAATGTTGGGTTCGAATCCGGGTTTCAGACACTACCTGTGATTTAGTTAGTTCGTTAATTAGTTCGTTTGTCCATTACGTTTTTGAGCCAGCTGGCCACGATTATCCAACTCTTTCACGCTTGAACTGAGTGTTTCTGACCTAACATAAAAACTAACAATAACATATTTAAGAATCACAGTTAATAGACAAACAACATATATACTCATAAACATACTAAATACATCTATGTTTATAAGCCCGCGTTCTGAAGTCCAACCAGTTGATGGCGGATATCTGCGCGATCGCTTGCGCAGATGTCCGCCTGGTTAGTGAATCCCGGCACGAGAGACGGGGATTCACGCGTGCTGCTAGCATCGGTTACATCCGGCGTGCGATCGTGATGGACAGGTGGCATTCCGTACACACACACGCCGGCACAGCGGACGACGGACTCTACCATTCTGCCGCAGCTGAGCAACTCGAGACATTAAGCAGGGTTGAGCCGGGGTAGCGCCTGGATGGGCGACCACCAAGCACAAAACGGTGGTGTAGGCTGCGGCGATGCTCTCAGCAGAGGGCAGGGCAGCAAAGTCAATTGCTGCCCTCGACTGTTCTAACATCTACGCTGTCACCAATCCGCGTTGGCCGGTGCGGTGAAGTAAGGTCGACTAACCCACAAAATCTGCCCGGCGTGGGAAGGCCGTCATCCAGCAGTGGACTCACTGGTAATTACTGCATTACCAGTGAGTCAAAGTGTTGGGTTAAGGAATTAATCAGTAAATAAATAACAGAGGTCACCATGGTGCCTGATGAGATTCAGCACCGCTTATTGGTAACAATCTCTTCTTCATCTTTAAAACAAAGCAAAATAAATGAAGTGGAGGCGAGCAGCGACATCACGGGAACAACTGACGAGGGATGGACGAACGTGACTCTGTTCGAGCGGAGACTGAGAGGGTAGGGGAACGGAGCACAGGGAGACGGCAGAAGAGACGCCAACAGCAGCGGCGGCGGTAGTAGAGGGATGGCCTCACAGAGGTCGGAGGTCATTACTGGACAGGAGGGCATGGGGGAGGCCTTTGCCTGGCGGTGGAGCGTTACCGCCGACAGCAACAACAACAGCAACAACAACATGTTCATTTGTTAATTAACCAACACGGCGAGCGTAGAAGATACAATTGATGCACGGTGGTTAAGACAACCTCCGCTTGAAGTTCTATTCTGGGAAAACGACGCAGCATGCTTTACCCTAAGAGGCAGCGCAGAAAATAGAAAAGCTTGAGCCTACTTTTAGAATTTCAATGGCACACCTTCTTACGAGACTCGCACAGGCACCGCCAAGCCAGTGAATATACAACGATGCATTGTAGGCCAAGGAATGTAAATAACTGCTTCTCAATATTTTTGTTTGCAATACAAGCAAACATGTAATGCTACTATGTTCAATTCGATTCAGGTTATGAAGAAGCCCCCCGCGCATGTGGAGCAAAACGTCGGACATCAAGAAGAACAGTTCACGGCACGACTTGAAAACGCATTGGAGAGCTCAACATTTGAATACATTGCGGCGCTGAGGATATTTCAGAGAATTAAAATCGTAAAGAAGCACTGCTGTTAAATGTTCTACGGTGTTGAAAACACAACTGATCCGGGCTTATGCATCACGCAGAGATAATGAAAGGCACAGCGGTACGTGCGACACGGTGCTCGACGTTACGCAGCGCAGAAAAACATTTTCCACGCTCTGCCACGGCCCAGTGGCGGCGCACCCCACGGCGCCTCTCACCTGTCACATCTTGCTCCCGCGTAGCCCGGGGCGCAGCGATCGCACAGCATCGCTCCGCTGGGCCCCACACGGCACGTCGGGCTGAAGCTGCGGGACAGCGATTGCGGGAGGGCGGGGGGGACGGTCAGGTCGAGCAGCAGCAGCCAGAGCAGCAGCGCCGGCGTCGCGGACGCGCGGCGCCACGACGCAGCCATGGCTGTCCCGCGGCTGTCGGCTCTCTCTCTCTCTCTCTCTCCGTTCCTCCGCTCCTTCCTCCGCTCGCGGCCCTTGAGCGCATTCTTCCGCGCCCGCCGGCCCCGTGGTCACGGCGCTATTTTGGTGAAGCCCTTATTTTTGGCACGGCCAGTTGCTGCCGGGATTGGTGCGAGACGCAGTGAATCACGCGGTGTTAGCGCCCGCGGCCAAAGCGAGAGACCGATGTTTTTTTAATGGTTCGGTCTGAATTGCTGAATTATAAAAATTAGCCGCAAATGACTTTATTGGGTAGAACCATGTCCCGGTATCGTTGGCAGACGCCTATACTCGTCTGTGAAACACAATGCATGCGTAACAGCGTTCGTCCGATAAGATTGGCGGGGGGTGGCGGCACCTCACTGCCACAAACATCGCGGCCCTTTTTTTTCTGATTTAAGCGAAGCCCTCGAGGTGTGAGGCGGTTTAAATACAGAACCACATCCCGTAGCTTGACAAGACCGCCGAATGCAATAGTGCCGCCCGTTCTCAACGACACGGATCGACTTTTTGAGCGGAGGAGGATGAGGAACGTGACAATGCAAGTTCAACGGAGGGATCACTTCGCACGGTTTCCATTTGGTTTCAACGAAGCCAATCAAAGCGAACCGAACGTTCTCCACCAGCAGGGCCCACCAGGCGCTGGCACGGAGGCAGTGCCTGGGTTTCCGATACCGACGACATTGAACCGAGCTGCAGCACAGGTAGCAACAGGCAAACGGCGCAACGTGGCACGGCTAACGGATGCCAAACAGAGAAGCAACAGGGCGCGTTCACGCCGAGCCCATTAATGTCCGATTGGCAAACGTTCACCACGGTCCAATTTGGCCAAAATGTAAAAATTACTTGCCAATTTCTTAAATGGGAAACACAGAGCAATTGTCAGCCCCGACTGTAAAACAAAACTAAAAGAGACTTTGCAGGGGGAGAGGGGAGAGGGCACAAAACTCAACACAGACAGACGCCCCGGGTCGGGAATCAAATGCAGGCCCTCCTTGCTGCGGGGCACGAGCGTGACCACTTCGCCACCGCCACCACCCTGCCACCCAACGCTCGGTGGACGGCGGTGCTCGTCTCCCATTCACGGCGCCGAGTCATCGATGAACATTGCAGTGAAAGTTGTGAGAAAATCGCCGTTGTTTCTATAAACCCTTTAAACCATAAACGACAAAATGTTCTTTTGAGCTGGCGGTCCGCACAAGGCCGAGAGATTTCGAACGCGTCGCTAGCTCCGCGGGGTCTCTGCGGCCGCTGCCTCGGCACGCCGTGCCACGTGAACGCGCGTGCATGCGTACGTGTGTGCGTACGTGTGTGCGTACGTGTGTGCTTGCGTGTGTGCGTGCGTACTTGTTGGAGGGGATGGAGAGAGGGCAGGCGCACGGCTGGCAGTCGTGTGGCGTTCCCTCCTGGGCGTTCCCATAAAACCCTGGCAGGCATCGCTCGCAGCGTGGCCCCACCGAGTTGTGTTCACAGTTCTGGGGGGGGGGGGGGGGGTGGCGAGGAAATGAGAGGGAAGAGAGAGGGAGTGTCATCACGTGTGCACTTGGGGCCCTTCGTCAATACACCGCGGGATGAGGGCCTTCCGTGCCATACAGGTAATGTCGGTTGTTGACAATGCTTCACCGCGCCGATCGGCGCGTGTCGGTGAATGAAGGGGTGGGTGCGGAGTACAGATCGGGCGCAATACATCGCTCGTGGATCGCTGCGCTGCCAGCGCTCCACATTAGTGAGATCCACGGAGGGGGGGGGGAGGCGGGGGCTCCAGATCGATCGGTGCGACGCGCAAATCGATGTGGCTAGATCACGGTTAGATCACGGCGGCTGCTGCTGCTGCGGCTGACGATGACGAGGAGGACGACGAGCTACCCCCCGAGCGGCTCCCCACGTCGGGCGCGCGAGCTCACCAGGCAGTTCCCGGAGACGTCATCGCACTCGGTGGCGTGGCCGTGGCAGTCGCAGGGCTCGCACGCCCCGCCGTAGAGGCTGCCGTTGACGCGGCGGTGGCCCCGCACGCACGCCTGCCGCCGCCGCCGGGGACACAACGGCGAGTCAGGGGCTGCAGTGGGGGTCACGCAACTCGGTGGGCGGTGGTGTGGGGGGGGGGGGGGGTGCCTCGAGAGAGCAGGGGACAGGGGAGCCCATCTAGGGTTGTCACATGCTCCCCTTTTTCCCCGGATCGTGCCCTTGCGCTGCTCTGCTGGGAAATCTGTGAGTCTTCCCAGGACATTAAGAGAATTGCTTTTTTTGCAGTTGTATAGTCATAATAATTATACGTAACATAAGACGAAGTATATACATAATGACCATATTCTCTGGATTATAAGACACTCTGGCAAGTACGACACACTCCAAACGTGTACCCGGTGTCAGTAAAGTTACACAAATCTGGTCTCTCACACACAGACACACATCGACCTTATTATTACGATGCAACCCCCAAACTTTGCTTTAAACTGCAGGGGAAATCGAGTGCGTCATGATCCAGAGAATACGGGAGTTGTTCTCCCATTTCTCCTTCTTCTTGCCGTGACAGATCTCGGTGTTTGTTGGCGTGCCTCTCAAGTGGCGACCCCGAGCCCGTCCCGTGTGGCCAATGCGTAGGGGAGAGGAGGCAAGTTCAAACGTTTCATGGTCCGGCGGGAGTGGCAAGGAGAACGAGTTGAGAGCAAAGGCGTTTTAGGGGGGAGAGTGTGAGAGGGAGGGAAGAAATGAGCGTGAAGAGAAGGAGATGTTACAGACCGTCTCCAGGGGAGCTTGGTGAAGAGCCGTGTCAGAAACATCGAGCTCCTCACTTATCTGGGGTCGAGGCGCAGCATAGAGAAGGATTTTACTGACGGAGGCGGAACAGAGAGCTCAGAAGCACACATTGTAAGAAGGTAAAAAAAGAAATCGGTAAGGTTGCACAGTGTGCCCAAGAATTGAGGTTAAACCCAGGGCATCAAACCTCACGACGGTAGAGAAGGCCACACTTCGTCCTTGTTAAGCAACGTTAGCCGGCGAAGCCTTCCAAGTCGGTGTATTTCTGTTTTAAAAATATATATTTTAAATGGTTCCTCTATTTAATCCCGATCGTGCTGTCGGCTTCACGGGATGAAGAATCCATTGGCATCGCGCAGAGCAGCGCGACCCTTCGTGTGAGAGAACGGCCCACAGAAGTGGATATCACAGAGCTGCTGAGATCCCTTCTTCAAGTGACCTCTGATCCACACAGTCAAGGGAGGCACTATCCTACCCACTCCGCCTGACAGGGTCATTCTCAGAGCTGGAGTTTATTCAAATTAAGTACTGAACCAAATTCATCGCGCTAATAAATGTATTTTTGTCCAGTCATTGTTGATTGTGCTAAGATCATCGAATCACTGCACCGGAAAACCTAGGCTGTAATCACAGGCACTTTGCCTGTATTTGAAACCCGGATTTCAGTGGTGGCAGCTCAGCAGCGCTCTGACCTCTGACCCACCCGGCCAACTCCCTCATGCTCATATTAGTATCACTCTACAGCCACGTGTTACGTGGGTTTAACGAGATACTTTTTGGACACACTGTGTATTAATCAAAAACACCAAAGCATAAATATTTTAGGCAACACTTTTAAAGAAAGGTTACAGAGAAACACGAGGAATGGTGTCATTCAAACCCTGGGTTTACAAAATATCTGCTCTCATGGTGCAGGTCCAATAAACAGGCTTCCCATGCGACGGCATTTGAAAGCGTTTACCACGGCTGCTGTTTTAAGTTTGTGGCCATGACAGGCGATCGTGAAACCCTTTGAAAAAGCCACTTTCCAAAATGTTTTAAAACTGCAGCCACCCTCAAGGAAACAGCTTCACAGGCTCCGCTGAGGACATCAAACATTTCTTAACCTCACCTCGCAAGAAGGGCAAATGGAATTTTATTAAATGTCAACCTCGCTTACAGTCCCGGCGCTACGCGTCGGCCGTTTGCACGCAGTGTTGATCTCCGCACAGATCTCTTGATTGAACACAGGCCGGGCCATGCAGTTCCTGAGACTTCTCGTGACCCTGAGCGTCTATCCTGCCACTCGTGGCTCATCTCACGTCTCTAAGTGAGCAGTACAAAGTCCGCAGGCCCTCTCAAGGGAAACTTCAGCCCTCCCAGTTGCTTCAGTTTTTTTTCCCTCCCCACATTTTTATTTTCCCTACTGTGCTATTATCGCTGTGCCGACACGAGGAGCCCATTCGGAAACGCTCGCACGGCCCCCCGCGGCTCTCACGCCTCAGACCCACGGCTGCCTCTCTACATAAAATACACGTCCACCAAAAGGCCTCCAATGAAGGTGCTGCTGGGACAAAGAAGGGCGTTGCCGCATCCCGCTCGGGAAGGTGGCAAGTTGGTGCGGCGCACTAATAAACCTCATCAGAGATGAGCGAGCCCTGAGGCTGGAAGTTTCTGCTTCTGTAGCGGCAATAAGCGCACGGAGGCATCATTACGTGGCGTCGCGGCTAGATCCGTTTGCGAACGTGGTCGCACGCGGACGCTCTCTGAGCCCACGGTGTCGCGCCACGGTACGTGGACCGAGGTTGACATCGTCACCTCGCACGACGTGCCGCTGTAGCCCGGCGGGCATTGGCACAGCTCCACATCGGAGGCGGCGACGGCGCCGCGCGTCCCCTCCGCCGCCACCTCCAGCGTCACCGAGCTGAGCCTGTGCGGGGAGAGGGGCACGGGGAGAGGGGCACGGTGAAGGCCAAGTGGGGTGTGGAGAGAGGGGTGTGGGCAGAGGGGAACAGGGAGAGGGGCACAGGGAGAGGGGGGCGTGGGGAGAGGGGCGTGGTGAGGACCCCGTGCCACGAAGCCCGTGGTAATAAGCAACATCTGTGTAATTCTAGTTTTTCCCCAAAAAGGGCGCTCCTTAAAGGTTCCTGTTAATGTCATGAATGCCTGCATTCTTGGGCAGCAGAATCCATGCACGTGTGATGCAGGTAGGCAGAACGCAGGACTCGAAGGGTTGTCCTGGTAAAACTTTACAATAACCCACGGGTGAATCTATTTATCTTTGTTGAGCCGTGGATAAGTGTCTTCCTCTGCTTGTCTGTTTGCCACGCCGACCAAGAGGCAGTTACCAGCGTGGAGGTAACCTATCCTCGCTTGACTGGAGCACAGAGATAGCACTAAAGCTATTATCCTTGTCCACACCACCAGTTCAAAATAACTGAAATGCGTGGCCATTTTGTTTTTTTAAACCACCAATGGGCAGCAGTGAAACGCAGACACAAGTGAAGCCGGTTTGGTCCTCATTAGGACTCATCAGTACGGTACAGCAATCAATGTTCGCTGCCCCCATGCGCCTCTGGCAGCCACGTACACGGAGAGGGCTGTAACCATTGCACTACGGGGGAACACCATCAGCACTTGCGTGAAGCATTTCATTCGATCACTTCACAATCCGCATTCGGCACTTTGTATTGTACCAGCTCCCCATAGATGGGGGATGCACAACGAACTGGTCATGATTGTCGTCGTAGTCATCGTGACGACGACGACGCTCACCGGTAGACGGCGTGTGGCTCGGAGCTGTACGGCACTCGGATGAGGATGGCTGCGAGATCGGTCAGCACCGTCATGAGGTCGTGCTGCGTCACGCCCGCGGCGAAGGAGGAGGGCAGTAGGCGCAGCGACACTTGCTGCTCCTCGAAGGGGTGCATGGGGGCCTCCTCGCCGTGCCACACCAGGTGCTGGCCGACCCCCTGGGGACGCCGCAACGTCGTGCCACACGAGGGCGCGGCGGCACCACGCACCCGCACGGGGGGGGGGGGGACCGCGCGTGTAAGTGGTTTTGCGTATGCGTGTCATTTTTTATTTCCCCGACCATAGTCGGGTTGCGCTGTCGGCATCATTCCACGAGACACGGTGTCCTCATTCAGTTCTCGGGCAGACCACTTCAACACTTCCTGTTGGAGAGTGGCCCGCGGTAGTGAATATCGCAGAGCTACCTCGGAGAGCCCTTCAAGTTCTACACAAGAGCAGGCAGCACTTTCTCGCCTGCACTGCCAATGACAGTCGTGTCCACCACAGAGTAATATCCATCACGTGTATTTTTTTTGTTAATCTTAGAAATAGGATTGAGTGAATTTAAGTGTAGGGGCAAATTAAATTCGATTAGGTTTGCAATGTTTGGTGAGCGGGCTGACACCTTCACCTCGCTACAGTTGGTTAACTCCAGATCTCAGCCGTGCTGGGTCAGCACTCCGATCTCTGAGCCACCCGTTCAAAACCTTTCACGTGGTGGCTAAGCGCCCCCCTTGCTGGGCCCTAACGCGTCCGTCCGCTCCATGTCGCGCTGCTTGCCACCTTACCTCCAGGATGACCTCCAGCCGGGCCCGCACGGCCGGAGCGAACATGTCCGGTGGTAAGTCGTACGACAGCGTGAAGCTCAGCTCGCCACCGTAAGCGGTCAGCTGCAAGGGCAGACGATGCACCAGAGTTACGTCCATTGTCATCAACAACCGTCATCAATCATCATCGTTATCACTGATTATAAATTAACTACGGGAAAATGATGAGCAAATCCCTGTACTTTAAATGAGAAAATGTGGGCCACGTCTTATAAACCTGAAAATCCCCTTCTGGAAAACGGTTCTCCATTGCAAAACCTGACCACCCAGAGGACAGAAGACTCCATAAAATATTCAGAATCATCTCCCGGACGGCACCTCTCCCCATTGTAAAGCAACGCCTTCATCGTCATCATCACCTTCTGACTCTCTGCGTAGTAGCACATTCTCCCTATTATACAGCACACTCTTTTTCTTTCGAAAATGCCTTCAAAAAGTTTATTGTGCGTTTTAATTTCTAGAGCGACTAATGGTCTGGAGAATACGATACCGCATGGGAGGCACCTTATAAATACTAAGCAACGATGACAACAACGACGACGATGATGGTGATGATAATGATGACGATCACCTTGTTTCCCAGGTAGGGGCTGGAGGCCGCCCAGTAGTAAGTGGCTGGCAGCACGCGCCGAGCCATCGTGTTGTTGACGCTGAGCTGCAGCGGCCCGTCGAAGCGGTCCTGCGTGGGCAGCATGGCCTGCTCCCCGCGCCTGTCCATCAGCCGCCAGCCAGACATGTCTGACACCTGGCACAGACGATGGGGGAGAGAGGGGACGGCCGCATCAGCTGATCAGGGCAAGGGACACGGGGCACGTGGTACGGGACACGGGGCACGTGGTACGGGGCACGTGGTACAAGACACGGGATACGTGGTATGGAGACACGGGGCACATGGTACGGGATACGTGGTACGGGGCACGTGGTACGGGACACGGGGCACGTGGTACGGGACACGGAGCACGTGGTACGGGATACGGGGCACGTGGTACGGGACACGGGGTACGTGGTACAAGACCCGGGGCACGTGGTACGGAACACGAGGTGCGGGGGCCTCACCTTTGCGCGTGCCCAGGGGACGCTGTCGCACATTCGTGTGACTCCGAAGCAGAAGCACTCGGTGCAGCCCAGCGCGTTGCTCTCCTGTAGGTTGTAGTGGCCCGGCTTGCAGCTGTCGCAGTGTTTCCCCTGCACATTGGACTGTGGGAGCGGCGACAGCAGCAGCATCATCGTCATGGGCCATGACCTATCCACTGCTGGTTTTATGCCTGGCCACCTCTCAAGGCCTGGCAGTTCAACATTCCGTCCCAATTATGTACGCGGTTCCGTTTGTCTCGATTTGTTTTCATTTGGCGCCTTCAACCGCGCCACAAGTCGCACTCTACCTCCATGCTCCCTGCCCTTGCCAACTGGCCCCGACTCGGGCATCGAAGTGCGATGGGAGGAGGCCCCCGTCCTCGGGGGGCCGCTCACGTCTCTGCCCTACCTTGCAGATGCACGGCTCCTTGCAGGGGTCCTTGTTGATGCTGCCCTCAGTGCTGCACTTGCACTTGACGCATTTGGGGAAGCCCTTGTAGCCAAACGCGCAGCGGTTGCACCGCTCGCCACCGTAGCCCGGCTTGCACCGGCAGCTCCCTGGTGCCAAGCCTGATGCACGCACGGGGGGACAGGGATTTTACCGTCGGGCTTTCGGGTCGTGCCGAGCGATGCGCGGCACGATGTGGCGCTGGAAAAGTGTCGCGAGCTTCGTCAGGAATTCGCTTTCAGATTGAGGGAGCAGATTTGTTTACTGGAATTAGGTTCGTGGAGAAGCTCCCAGCACGTGGAGTAAAACGTCAGACGTCGGTCCGAACGGTACGACCCAAACGCGTCAGAGAGCTAGACTGCAATGCAACCATGGCAACTACCTAAGTAAGACCATCACGAGCTTGTAATGAAAATTTACCGCTTGCCCGATGTATTTATCTTATTTATTCCAGTACGTAAAAAGGGTTGTCTGACTAGTTTCGTATCGTTTACAGAAAATGTAAATATCAGTTTGAACGTTCACGTAAAGGACAGCCACTGAACATTGCAGACCATAGGGAGAAATGCTGTTAATGAGCACCTATTAAGGCAGGCGTGGTGCACAAGTGGGTAGTGTGGCCAGACCCGTGCCTGGCTGCCTTTGTTCTCCACGTTCTGATATTTGAACACCACACAATGGATTATTTTAGTTAAAAAGCCAACAGCGCACTGCTCTAGGAACCTGGCGCCATGTGAGTTTGGTTTCCGGCCGTGTGGTGAGTGGTGAGTGACATCTGAACCGGTCCCGGGAGCTCCCCCGTCATGAGTCCGCACTGACCAGCACGGCGAAGTACAATCAAACAATCCCCACCGGCGCGGCGAGGCCTTCGTCCAGCAGTGGATCGACAAAGGGCTGGGAATTATTTTGGTGACTACCCTCACCGTCGGCGGAGGAGCTCTCCTTGTCGTCCTTGACGCAGACCTTGCTGAGGGAGCCCACGGGGTTGCAGTTGCAGGGTCGGCAGGGGTTGGGGTCCATGGGCCGCACCTGCGCATGGACACAGCCAGCGGCAGCACGAGGTCACGCCCAGCTCAATTCCCTCGCTTCCCTTGCTGGGGGATTTCACAGCCACGACCCTCGCGACCCTCGCGACCTTCGTGATGCGTTCGACCGTCACGACGCGCGGACCTTGCGACCCTGGGGAACCTCGCTACGTGCACAATGTGCACGACCCTGGCGACCCTCGCGACCCTGGCGACCCTCGCGACCTTGGCGACCCTCCGGGCCTTCATTCCGAGTGCAGCGATGCGGCCCAGCCGTGGCGACAATAAAATTAACTTCCCGGGCGCAAAGGTGCATCGTGGAGGGAGCGATCAAATACCAAACTCCCGAACGTCGACGCGGCCGATATTCGTCGTGCGGCACGTACCGATTGAACCCGGATGGCGGTAATGCGGTTCTCAGGTTTTAAGCGATACAATGCTACGTGCCGCTTATGCTTCACGGTGGACATTAAATATCACGCGACGTCACCCCAAAAGAGTCGGCCATTGCCTTTACGGTCCACAACTGAAAGTCTAACCACGAATTAGACGACTGGGATCACCCAGAGCAACACCGTCGCCCGCTGCAAAACTATGGAGCGCAGCACCTTTGTGATAGTCTCGCACTGTAAGAATGGCGCGAATACTAAATGTACTTACGATTGCATTTGTTCTTCCCAACTCGCGTAAAAAAAAGACATTTTGGAGAATGTTTATTACATCCTGATTGTGTTTGGTGAGCACGTGCCAGTGTCTCCATCGCTCAACGACAGGACCAATCACCAGGACCGAGTGTTTTTGGCTATTTGGTCAAAATGTGACATTGACCCACCGTTGTTTATGATTATTGTAGGTTAGTGCGACCATGGCTGGGCCCGGTAACATTGTTAAGTTGTGATGGGATTCTATCCTGGACACCTTTGCTATTATGATTACAACACAATTACATTTATTATTGCTGTCATTATTGTGCTTCTTTACTCAGGAAAGCCTCACCGAATATAAATAATCTTTTTTAGGAGGGTCCTGCCAAGTTTTTTGCAGAAGGAGAAGGTGATTGCTGCGTAAGATCCCAATTGAGTAATTTGCAGATATTTATTTTACTTGTCAAATTGGGACCCTAGCAGCAGCACACAAAGGCCTACTGGCGTCTAAGGTCCACTGCAAAGCAGGCGGCGTGTACTTGCACGGTTAACACAGACACCCTAGCATTAACCAGCACAGATGCTGGAGCCGAACCGTGAACCTCTACAACGAGCGGGCGAACGCCCCTCTGCTGTGCCGAGTGTCTAAACGTGACGTCCCCGAAGACGTTGCGAGGACAGTACGAATGTAAGGCTCAAGAGGGAGTGGCAGAGGGTGGTGGGTCGAGATGGAGTGGAGACAGATCAGCGCAGGAGAGGAACACAGAGCAGCTTGGAGGCAGCGACACATCGAGGCAAGCGAGCGCAGATGCGCCGCGTCGGTCACGAAGCTGGCGACGATGGCGACGGCGAAGGTGGCGACGAGCACCTTCGGCGGTCTGAAGTATTCGTCGACGCAGATCTCGCAGTTCACGCCGGCCGTGTTCTGCGAGCAGTTGAGGCAGACTCCGCCGCCGACGAACTTGCCGGCCGTGTTGAGGCTCAGGTTCCTCCGCGCGACGTCTGGGTCGTAGTAGCATTCGCCCGCCTTCCCGTGGCAGTTACACTCTGCCCGTTAGAACACACGATTGACAGCGGGTAAAAGTTAAAGGCGCAGCCCTGAAATTGTCCGCTCATGCCTCTGCTGGCCCAAAGGCCTCCGCTAGAGGGCGAGATCGTTTATCTCTTTAGAGGACATCGCTGCCTGCTGTTCCAACGTCCACGCTGGCCAGACGTATCAGAAGGGGCCAGAGTACCCACATTTTGCGCCACCCCATGTGACCTGCCGATCGACTAACTGTGACGAACCCATTTATGCCAGGGGACGGGATCGAACCGGTGATAGCTGGATCGCCACGGCACTGTGGCAGCAGCGTCCGTGTTTATCCGATGGTCCGAACAGATAAACATCCCCTCTTGGCGGAAACCCCTTGCCGCTTCTGGCAGGAAAGGGGCACGCTCACCGCCCGTCCGCCGACGCGGCCGTTAGACAAGAGGAGCGGTGAGAAAGGAAGCGAGGGGCGACTCTTACTCTCGCACAGGTTCCCACTCGCCACGGTGCCCGGCTGCCAGGACATCTGGTGGTACCCGGGGCAGCAGCGGTTGCAGCTCTCTCCGCACGTGTTGTGCTCGCACTGGCACGTGTGTTTCTGCGGTGGGAGAAGAGGAGAGGATGTGTGGGTGAGGGGGCGCAGGGGGGGGGGGAGGGGGCCCAGGGGAGGGGGGGTCAGTCAAGCACCACAACGAAGAATCCATTGAGTAAATTAATACATTCGATATGGTAATGGGTAAATGGGCAACCCTGCAATTGCTTGCTCCAGTCACCGCTGGTGGAAAGACCTTCCTTGATCCATAACCCCTCTAGAGGATAATTGTCCAGCTCTTTCACACTGGACAGATGTTTTGGAAGAGGTGAGAGTGCCCACACTTTACCCCACCACACAGGACCTGCTGACCGGCTAAATATGGCGAACCACAATCACGCATACCACGTGAAGCCCCGCCGCCCCCGCCCGCCTCCCCTGTAGAGCCACAACCGATCAAAATCATCATTGAAATATAATTAGTTTCTGTTAAGTTATAGTCGGAGAAAAGGAGTGGGGCAGGATACCTAGCCAGGGTGTCAGATGACCGATGGGTGGAGATGAACAACGGAATGAAGGCCGATGGAGGGGAAGTGACATTTCTAGATTTAAAGCTTTTGTGACTGCAAGGATCCATACTCTTTGGGTCTATTCGGTAAAGTCACGTAGGTAAAAAATAAAACAACAAAAATCACGACGTTTCGGCACCAAACACAAGTGGCTGTTCTCTAGACAGTCTGGTCCCTTCACCTGATGAAGGCCACTTGTGTTGTGGCCGAAACGTCGTGATTTGTGTTGTTTTATTTTTTACCTACGGGAAGTGACACGCCGCCAGGGTCATGGCTGTACCTTGGTGCTCGAGTCGTAGAGGCAGGCCCTGGCGTGGCCGTAGCAGATGCACATCCCGCCAACCGAGATGTCTTTCACCGAGTAGTAGTACTGGAACGGCATAGGTGGCCGTGACACCAGGGGTGAGTAACGCCCTGCCGAGGTTGCCACCTCCGCGGTACAAAACACGGGGACGTGTCACGACATCGTGAGAGCGGAGAACAACGAGTCAAGTCATCGTCTTGGAGCAAGGACTTCTTGTTGTTACTTTTTACGCAACGAACAAAAAATGGATTCATCATCACAGCAGCTGCCTTCTCAAGGAGAGGGACAATCCTGGGAAAATCAGGACAGGTGGCAACCCCTAGCCGAGCCACTGAGGCAGCATGCAGCAGTAGGCAATCACTGCACGGATGGTTTATAACAAGGATGGCACCACTGTGCCCTTGTCTTATTGTCCTGCTGCTGTCTAAAATAATTACCACAAATTTGACTCTTTCGAGTCAGTGGCCTAAACAAGGCTGTGTGCTTGATACACGTGGTACGGTGCCCAATGGTCACCCTTTGTGGGTTCAGAATGTTTCTTTTGACAGGGAGGCTTCGCGAACACACGCTCGCCTCTCCCTCGCCAAATCAGGAAAACCATTCGTGAGGAGCATGGGGCGGAAGGAAGGGGGAGGGGGGCACGGGTGGACCAGCTAAGCAAGAGACGAGTACAGTATTTATTCGAAGGTCAGCGTCGGATATAAACATCGTCTGGGCGTACTGCACGCTTTGTTTTGTCACGGTCGCGGTGGCAAGTAAACATCCGTGGCGGCGGTGGTGCACGTGCGTACGCGGCGGGTCACGATGGGGTCGAGCTCCTGCGGGCCGTGGTGGTTCAGGGTCATCAGGTCGGCGTTGAGCGTGCGGATTCGCTGGAAGCTGAAGCGGATGAATCGCGCCGATGTGAACTCCATCAGAGCCGGGGAGGGGTCGTCCGCGCTCGGCCGCCCGTTTATCATCGAGGTGTGGATCTGCGCACATCATCGGCGTTACAATCGTCATCGCTCTCGCTGTCGTCATTATCATCATCACCGTCGTTGACATCAAAATTGTCGTAATAAAATTCCATGATCATTATTATCGTCATGGTCATCATCGTCATGGTGATCATCGTCGTTGTCATCATCGTCATGACCATCATCGTCATGGTCATCATCGTCATGGTCATCATTGTCGTTGTCATCATCGTCATGGTCATCATCGTCATGGTCATCATCGTCATGGTCATCATCGTCGTTGTCATCATCGTCATGGTCATCATCGTCATGGTCATCATCGTCGTTATCATCGTCGTTGCCATCATCGTCATGGTAATCATCGTCATGGTCATCATCGTCATGGTCATCATCGTCATGGTAATCATCATCATGGTCATCATCGTCATGGTCATCATCGTCGTTGTCATCATCGTCATGGTCATCATCGTCATGGTCATCATCGTCGTTGTCATCATCGTCGTTGCCATCATCGTCATGGTAATCATCGTCATGGTAATCATCGTCATGGTCATCATCGTCATGGTCATCATCGTCGTTGTCATCATCGTCATGGTCATCATCGTCATGGTCATCATCGTCATGGCCATCATCGTTGTTGTCATCATCGTCATGGTCATCATCGTCGTTGTCATCATCGTCGTTGTCATCATCATCAGCCACGATCTAGTCGCTCCGTGACCAAGGCCTACACGAGCTGTCACAACAATCCCATGGATCCCGCACGCGAGCTCATTCCACGGCTCCATCTCTGCAGCGGCGGTGCTTGTCGAGGCAGCGCAGCCGGGGTGCCCAAAAGTGTGGGGCAAAAGGGGGCACACTTTCCCCGGGCCTCACACCAACGGGGGCTCCTGATCTGTCGCTAACGAATTAGGGGGCACCGCGTGGATTTCTGCCCCGGGCCTCCAGGAAAGTCTGGAAGAGCCTGCGCCGAGCTGATAGGCGGTGGTGATTACGTGTACACCACACCCGAGTCTCGGAATGTAATAGTTTGCGTCGGAGCGTTTCCTTAAGGAAGGAGAGCCTTCAGCAGAGTCATTAGCCGAGTCTCTGCGGACCAAACAAATCCAAGGCTACGAACGCTGCTTCGCACGTTCACTCCCGAGCAGCCCACCTCCCTGGTGGCGTTCGCGCAGTCGTCTCTGCTTTAGATTTACACTTTGCAGGAGAAACGACGCACGAGTCGCGCCGGCTGTATACGTGCGGGAATTTACGGCAATTAGGCGCAGCCTGGGAAATGAGGGGTGAAAAAAAAAACCGGGGCAGATGTTCAAATTCAATCGCTCTCATTGTGCGTCGAGTTCTCGTTTCATCACGATGAATGATTGCACCGATTTTTTTTTTTGAACACGCAAACAAATTCCACGCAATCTGCGATTGCCTCGCTTTGCGCGCTTGTCGGGAGGTTAACGTTACGGCGCGGAAGCTGGAAACTCGCACGTGAACTTTTCAACTGTTATGTTTATATGTACGGTTTATTGCATGTATAAGTTCACTGCAGCTGCAACCCGATGTAGTGTTGTGTGACTGCTTAGTCGCAGAGTCGGCAAGTATTTAAAACAAACGGATGACGAGGAGTGCCGGGCATTGCGATCCAGAGTGTTCTGCGGCTCTGCGGTGTCTGGGATTGAGCTGTCTTGAAGTGTAAACAAGGAAGTTTTTACGTAAATCAGTTTTACTAACAACAAGGATACATTGTTTCTAATTATAGAACTTTGGGACAAAGTGAATTTAAGACCAGCAGAGTGTATAACGATGTGGTCACGACAGTACCATCTACGGCCAGCCATATGTGTCTCTCTGACATTCCGGAGAAAGTGCTGCCCCCTCTCCGCGTCGACTTAGGGATCTATTGAAAGGTTCTCAGAAGTATATCCGGGATATCTCCTTCCGCGGGCCGTTCTCTAACACTAAGGGCTGCATCCGAACGGATAACTATTCGTCTCGTCACACGATGGCGGTCGCGCAATCGGGCTAACCTTTTTGGAAAAAAAAACATTTAGAAAGATACAAACGGACTCGCAACAAGCGCACGCACACGGTACGCGTACCTCCCCGTTCTCGAGCGGCACCAGCCGGGAGTAGTAGGATGTGCAGATGACCTCGTCGTCGCGCCGGTAGGTGGGGTTGCCGATGGTGGGCATGACGCTATAGCGGAGGAGGCAGTCGGCGTCGGTGACGGCGTAGTACTGCCACGGCGTGTACGTCACGCCGTCCAGCGAGCGCTCCAGCACCCAGCTGCCGGGCCTCGGAGAGTTGGCCGCTTTCAGGATCACGTAGGCGATCTGGAAGACCTGCGCGCACGCACACACGGGGAGAGAGGGCCCGCGGTGGAGGTGGCAAGCGGTGTGGAAGGAGATCGTCGTCGTCAAGCCGTGGGTAATCCACTGCTGGACCAAGGCGTCCAAGCCACCGCAACCTATAACAATCCTGTGATGCGACAATCCACGCAGGACCTGCGCACGACCTTATTCTGTCGCTCCAGCTCCTCGGTGGACGTACACTCAGATGCAATCCACCTCTTGGCTACCGTTAAATTAAATAAAAAGGCCAACATTCTATGTTACCCAGACTTGACCCTCAACTGCTACCAGCTGTCACGTATCTTTGTCAACCGCTTGATCGTAACTTTTATCATCATCATCAGCCATGATCTATTCGCCGCTGGATGAACTGGGGAACCCCGAGTTCGATTCCCGACAATGGCGAACAATATCCGAACAAGTCCTTCGGCCCTCTCCCATCACCAACCCGTATTGACCAGCGTGGTGACGTAAGGCCGCATCTAGCGCATCGTCCTAGGGCCCCATGGACATTGCGGTGTGGGGAGGCCTTCATCCAGCAGTGGAATGACGACGGGCTGCGATCTCAAATGAGCGCATCGCGTTCCGAGGTCGGCACCCAGGTGCAGCTCGTGGTGAAAGAGAACAAAAGCACCCCCCGGACGAGCGGCTAGCGAGAAAGCCCCGGGGGCGGGCGACAGCGAAGCTCTCGGTCTCCGCAGCTGCGCCGCTCGGACGCCGGGACAATGGCCGCATTTAGCACCGGGCGGCACGGGGGGAGGGGGAAGGCAGCGCCACGTGGCATTCCATCGGCCACGGCGAGCCGGCGCCGTGGCGCGATCGTGATCCCCCCTGCCACGCGGCGTCCCGGTGGTGGGACGCCAGCCGTGCGGACGCTGCAGCCGGCACAGTCGCCAAGCCGCGCGCCGTGGTGTTGGAGCTCAGGCTGAGAGCCACGGTCTCCTCCGCACACTCCGCTTGAAGCCGAGGGAATGCACTTGACACATTCTGGAGGTTGGCTCGAGCCAATCATCCCTCCCGGGTCGATAAAACAAGTACCACTGTGCAGGGAAGTCAACCGTGGTTTCCCGATGGATAGACTTGGCACCGGCCATACGAATGAGTAATCTCCACCGCCGGCTCAGAAGCGCAAACATAAGATGAGCACCGTCTCAATGTTCAAATGATCAAGACATCACTTTGACTTGACTAACTTTGACTATATTTTATTTTATATCTACGTGACTTTACCAAAAGAACCAAAGAGTATGAAATACAATTCGGATTCACATCGTGTCGAATTGCGATTGCATTTAAATGCGATCGCACTTAGACACTGCACGAATGCAGTAGTGCAGTGGACGAGGTAAGATGGCACGTACGCCGCACGCAAAGAGGCTCTCGGCCCCCGAGGCATCGTGGGATTCCAGTCACGCGGAGTGTCAGCGAGTGGCTTTGGGAGGTGAAACCGCCTTGGCGGGCGCGTGACCAGGGCCGTGTATTTGTGGCTGGGAGGTGGCTCGCAGCTGGGCACCAGTTTGACCCGCGGTGACCCCCGCTGTAAGAAGCGGTTTGACCTCGCAAAGCCTCTCGCTGGGCTCTGCGGCCCCACGGTCCCCCGTCCGCCAGATGTGCCCCGCGCACCCCGGTGTTTACGTCTCGACTCTCGCCTCAGGGGCAGCTTCCTACGTTGGCTCTTTGGCGAATGTTGCAGTGTAGGAGGCTATGGTGCGGGGAGCTGTGGTGTAGGAATTCCACATGTAGGAAGTTATTAATAGTACGGACCCCGCTTCACGCTGCAGCTGTGAAACCATGCAGCCAACGGGGTTTAAAGAGAGCGATGTTCTCGTGCAAAGTTGAGGTCTAACTCTGCATTACCAGCGAGATGAGCACAATGTTTAAGCAACCTGACAACCTATATGTAGTACACGAGATGCACCGGGATATCATTATGCAGTATACAATTTATGCTCAAACCACCGGCGCACCATTACATGGTACGTAATGCATATTAAATGCATTAGCATGCGTTATGTAGTACATTTGATATATACATACATCGATTTATTTTCTCGTGTGTTCGCCCGGGAACTTTTTGAAAACAACGTTAGACACTAACAGACGAGCCTGCTGGCGCTCGCTGCTCCGAGTGCGAGCCGAGCGACGCTGTCGAGGGAAAGCTCCTCGCCGTCTCACTCGGACGGAGTTCGCCACGGGCTCATCGCGAGATCAAAGCCTCGCCCGCTGCGCCATCAACGACCGCGACTTCCAAACGGCCTCCGCCGGAGACGCCGGGCGATTATTCGGGAATGGCGCACGCGACTCACGTGACTCAAGCGACTCCGCCGTTTGATGGCAGTAAGGTCTCGGTTTATGAGCGTGACATCGATGCTGACATCTATACCATCCCACCACCCCTACCTCCAGCACCCCCCCCACCACCCCTACCTCCAGCACCCCCCACCACCTCTACCTCCAGCACCCCCCCCACCACCTCTACCTCCAGCACCCCCCCCCCACCACCCCTACCTCCAGCACCCCCCCCCACCACCCCTACCTCCAGCACCCCCCACCACCCCTACCTCCAGCACCCCCCACCACCCCTCCCTCCAGCACCCCCCATCACCCCTACCTCCAGCACCCCCCACCACCCCTACCTCCAGCACCCCCCCCACCACCCCTGCCTCCATCACCCCCCCCCACCACCCTTACCTCCAGCACCCCCCCCCCCCCCACCACCCCTACCTCCAGCACCCCCCATCACCCCTACCTCCAGCACCCCCCACCACCTCTACCTCCAGCACCCCCCCCCACCACCTCTACCTCCAGCACCCCCCCCCCCACCACCCCTACCTCCAGCACCCCCCCCCCCCACCACCCCTACCTCCAGCACCCCCCACCACCCCTACCTCCATCACCCCCCACCACCCCTACCTCCACCCCGCCCTTACGCTACAGGGCTCCCACGCGTTACCTGTCGGAGGTCGAGGGTGATGGTGACCCTGTGGTACTGCTCGCCGTTCTGGATGCTGGGACTCTGCCACCAGCTGTTGGTCCCGTCAATGGCATGCTGTATCGAGTGGCGCTCTGCGGAGACGGGGTCACGGACGGACCACGGGGGGGGGGGGGGGGGGGCTCAGGATACGGCGTTTTTAACGAGCGCATGGTCACCCACAGTGTACTTGAGAGTTTCTGGGATTGATTCTGATAGTGGTCGAACACGGCAACATTGCCCCTTACTGGGAGAATATACCCGTCTGTGAACAACAGCACCTTTGTGAAAGCCTGCTGAAATAGCAATGGCTGGAATTCCACATGTAGTAGTTCATAATTGTCACGATTTACGCTGGCGATTTGATTCCTAACATTGTTTTTATCTTCCCCTTGCTTCCAAGCTACAAATGCCACCGCTAACCTGCAAAGTGTCTTGAGATGCATTCCACCATACATCCATTAAACAATGACCAAAACATTCGTGGCACTGCAATGCCGGTGGTGCAATCAGCTCAACCGGACAAAGGGCGCACAACCGCAAACACCCACGCGCGTGCGCATGCGTTCGTTCGTTCGTTCGCTCGCTCGCTCGTTCGCGCATTTGTGCGTTCGTGCGTTCGCGCGTCCTACCGGCCGGGTTGGCGCTGCGCTGGTCGCACAGGCGGCACTGCGGGTTCCTGAAGGGCCTCCCTGGCACGTGCTCCACCAGCTTGCAGTAGGTCTCGGGCTCTTTCACGCCGCACGTGGCGTTGGCCGTGATCTCCGAGTTGCTGGCCAGGTTGAAGATCGCCGGGAAGAGCCCTGCGCACGTCACGCACGGCAGCAGGGAGCGCCCATACAGTGTCCTTGCTGGCCGTAGTGATGGCTGCTACACGTAGACATTTGACTTAAGCTGGTGCTGTTCGTTACTGTCCGTTTTCTTGTTTTTGTTCGTATGGGAATGTGCTCGGCAAATGTGCACGATACAGTAATAAACATTCATACTGGCACTGCTGTCAAGTGATACAAATATGAACACAGTCAACTCTCGACTATCTGGGCTCATGAGGGAGGGTCTAGAAGACAAACACGTGGATCGCTCAAGACGTGTACAGCACCACCACCGTCTGTTATCTCGCTTCTGCCGACGTGCGTGCGGTCAAGTGGGCACCGAGCCACTGACCCCTCCGAGAGTGAGGAGCAGCTCATCATAGAACTGCATTCTGAAAATATTTTGTTAAATTTTATCGAAAGCGCGGTTAATCCGCAACCCGTACACCACCGCGCACTAGTTAACTTTATTATAATCGCTAAGCTCGTTTGCCGATTAAGGGAATTGGTTGGGAAATCTCGCAGCAGTTGAGGTGAGGGGGGCACGAGCCGGGGATTGAAACCGGAGCTGCGGCTTGACCTCTCAGATCGCGGAAAAACGCCGACGGGGGGGAGAAAGAGGGGAGGAGAATGAGGGGGGGGGAATGAGGGGGGGAGAAGGAGGGGGGGGAGAAGGAGGGGGGGGGGAGAAGGAGGGGGGGGGGCGCTTTCACTGAAGGCCGCGACCGCAGCTGTCGGAGCTATTCTGGGACTGCTCGCAAACGCGCAGCACCGAGCGCGGCACCGGCGCCTGTTGGGGCCGCGCCGCGTGGATCACGCACAGCACGAACGGCGCTTCCTCTGAATCAGCGGCACATGCCCTGGTTTGGGAAAAAGCGGCTCTCGCTGCTCAGTTGTCCGTCCTCCCGGTTACAGGTCTCCGCAGGGCCCCGGAAAAAGTCGCAGACGTTTGTACGACCGTCGCAGTGCGCTTCTCGAATGCAACGAATGAGAGGTTCAGCAATTAATTTGATTACGAAGAGCGTAAGCCTATGTACATATAACCTGGATTGCGCCCCATTTCATGGGAGGAACCCGGAGATCACGGAGGAAACCCACGCAGAACAAAGCAACTCCGCACAGAACGGCGCCTCGAGTCAGGATTCGAACTCAGGCGCTTCTTGATGTGGGGCACAAGCGTTACCACTGCACTTTCACCCTACAGTTCCAAATAACATGGCAAAATTATGTTAGGCAACATAGCGCTTGTGGCTGATGGCCAATGCAGTGGTAGTGATTTACGGCCAACGGTGGAAATACAACTTCCTTCCTGAGACGAGCGGCTGATTGGAGCCACTTAAAAAACTCGGCGACGCCGTGGAGGGGGAACGGCAGACATCACCAGGAGCCGCGCGGACTCACGCCGCCGCTGGGGCAACGTCCGTGCGCCCTCGACAAGGGAGCGCCTCACGGGACAAAGAAGGTGAACGGAGTGACTGAGGCTACGGGTTTTTGGAACTCTCACGCCAAAGTGCGACGTAAATGTCAGCGACCAGACGCTCTCGTCTCAACGGTTTCCTGTTTACTGCGGGTTTACTGCCCTGCACTCAGACTAAAGGATCTTGGACACGGGCAGATTAAGCGAGAAATGCTTTGTTGGGTGGGCTGTCTTTCCGCTGCCTGCTGGCAGAGAAAAAACAGCACAAGTTTGGGAAGAGACCACTGCGGAGAGTTTCACGGTCGTGCTGCTCTGCAGCAATCCGATGGTGCTTCCGCGTCATACCGCACGTTGTTCGGAACGATGTCCGACGTTTCACTTCACGTGCTGGGGGCTCATTCAGGAACTGAATTGAAGAAGCTCCCACGCAAGAATGTCTTCATGATGTGCTTGACCAGAAATTGTAATTATGTTTTCTAACGTATTATGAGCATTTTTGGAACACAGCTGCTGAGCACAGGCCTAAAATGTCAAGCATCCAGCAACAAAAAGCATTAATCAGTAAGGTTATTATTATACGAGCTTGCGAATAGAGAGACGATGATGATGATGGGAGGAAGCAATTCCACAGTGGAGCAGTGCAGACAGAGCAGTGTTGTTGTGACCTGCAGTGTGGTGGGTGGGTGAGTTGGTGAGTGTGTTGTTGTGACCTGCAGTGTGGTGTGTGGGTGAGTTGGTGAGTGTGTTGTTGTGACCTGCAGTGTGGTGGGTGGGTGAGTGGGTGAGTGTGTTGTTGTGACCTGCAGTGTGGTGGGTGGGTTATTGGGTGAGTGTTGTTGTGACCTGCAGTGTCGTGACTGGGTGAGTGGGTGAGTGTGTTGTTGTGACCTGCAGTGTGGTGGGTGGGTGAGTGGGTGAGTGTGTTGTGCCGGAGGCCCCGGGGGGCCAGGCGTCTATGACGTCTCCTGGCCAAACCCCAATTGGCGGAGCCAGGGGATTGAATACCTACCCTCGGGGCTACTCCAGAAACAACGAAAAGCCACTACGGGTGGCCACGTGGAATGTTCGAACGCTCACTGCAGAGGAGAGGCTGCCACTCCTCTGTCGGGAGCTGGACCGGTACCGCCTGGATCTATGCGGCATTCAGGAGGTCCGGTGGACCGGCTCTGGCTCCTGCCACCATGAGGGGTGGACAGTCCTCTACTCGGGGCAGCAGACTGCCAAACAACACGGTGTGGGTCTTCTTTTGAACAAAAGAATGAAGGGGGCGTGGGAGCGTGGCGGTGAGGTGTGGGAAGCTGTAAGCCCCAGGCTACTTTGGGCTCGCCTTCCCATCAACCGGAGGCGAGGAATGGTGGTCGTGGTTACTTATGCCCCCACCGAAGATGAACATCCGTGGAGGGATGCAGGCAAAGCCGATGAGTCAGATGCCTTCTATGACCTCCTGTCACAGGTGCTGGCTAAAGTGGCCCCTCGAGATAGAGTCATCATGTTGGGTGACTTCAATGCCCGAGTTGGTCATGATACTGGCACCTGGTCTGGAGTGATTGGAGGGCATGGGCCAGATCAGCTCAATAACAACGGTAGGAGGCTGCTAGATTTTTGTGCAGCCCATGGGCTTGTAATTACCAACACGCTGTTCCGGAATCGGCGCATCCACACAACATCATGGATGCATGCCGGGTCCAAGCAAGAACATCTGCTGGACTACATAGTGACGGACCAGCGAATGCGAGCCCATGTCCTTGACACCAGGACCTACCGTGGAGCTGATCTGCCCTCTGACCATCGACTAGTCATCTGTAAGATGCGCCTGCCATTCTTCCACTCCGGTGGTGGGTGTACACCCAGGACCCCATTCCAACCTAAAGTGGCCTGGTCTCAGTTATCTGATGAAAGTTGCAAGCGAGAATTTCATCATCGCTTGCGGCTGGGATTGGCATCGTCCCCGACTCCTCCTGATGTCGAGGGTAAATGGGCGAGGTTTAGGACTGTGACTCATGCAGCTGCAATGGCTGCTTTGGGTACGCGGTCCAGACCTCCCCAGACACCCTGGATGACAGAGGAGTTGTTCAGGATGGTTGAGAAAAAGCGACAGGCCCACTGTCATCGGCTACAGAATCCCACGTCAGAGAATGAGGAGGCTTACCGCAGCCTTCGCTCGGAGGTTCGGAGAGCCGTGAGGCGCTGCAAGGATGGGTGGTGGTCGCGGGTTGCTGAGGAGATGGAGTCTGCCTCAGTGGCCCGTGATCACAAATCTCTATTTAACTCCATCAAAAAAGTAACCTGCAGCGCCACACCTATTACCATCATTAGGGGAAAAAACGGTGATCCAATTTCCGACCCCCAGGAACAGGTTCGCAGATTTGCTGAGCATTTCTGTGAGGTCCTGGGGGAGGGAAAATCCCTCAGCCAGGAAAACATCGTGGCACAAAGTGAGGATGACCCTGCTGAGGCTGCGGTGCCTCAAATATTGGATGAAGTCACCCCCTGTGAGTGGCTGGCTGAGGTGCCATCTGCTGAGGAAGTATTGAAGGCGATCCGGAGTCTGAGACCAGGAAAGGCAGCGGGCAGAGATGATCTCCCAAGCGAAATGCTGAGGGAGGGTGGCGTTTGTGCACAGACTGCCCTATATGACATCATAACAACAGTCTGGACCACTGGACGGGTTCCGCAGGATTGGAAGGATGCCCTGGTGGTCCCCCTTTTTTAAGAAGGGGGACCGCACAGACTGTAACAACTACAGGGGCATCTCACTCCTCAGTGTGCCGGGAAAGGTCCTGGCAAGGATTATTCAGCATCGCCTTGCCAGGCACGCTGAGGAGAGGCTTGCGGAGCCCCAATGCGGTTTCAGGAAAGGGCGGTCCTGCACAGATGCCATATTTTCTGTCCGTCTGCTACAGCAGAAGTGTAGGGAATTCCAACAAGACCTACATCTCTGCTTTATTGACCTGGTCAAGGCCTATGATACCATCAGTAGGCCTGGGCTCTGGGTCGTTCTTCGTGCTTTTGGAGTACCTGACCCTCTGCTCACGATCATTAAGGACCTTCATGATGGTGAGCGGGCCCGGGTAAAACTACATGGCCGGGAGTCAGAGCCATTCCCTGTACACCTTGGGGTGCGACAGGGATGTCCTCTGGCTCCCACATTATTTAACATCTATTTTGACCACGTAGTTCGTGAAGCCTTCAATAGCTGTACCGGGGGAATCTCCATATGGTACAGATATAATGGGAGGCTAATTGATGCCCGGGTGCGGTCAAGGGATGGCTCCCTATTGCTCAACCACGTTATGTATGCTGATGACTTGGTAATAGCTGCTCAGTCAGAGGAGGAGTTGGAGACGCTGCTGCTGAGACTGGAGCGTGCCACTAAGAGGTGGGGCCTTACCATCAGCCCCACCAAAACTAAGCACCTGCTTGGGTATTTTGTACCATCGGACACTCCACCCCCACAACTCCCAATCGGTGATGGGGCAGTTGTGGAGAGAGTGGAGAGTTTCCCATACCTGGGCAGTGTGCTTATGACTGGCTCCAGTTTAACAGCAGAGGTCTCACTCCGAATCAGTCGAGC